GGCCTTAACATAGGTTCTTCTCTGCTTGGTGAAACCTTCCCCGGGGGTAGAAAACTGGGTTTAGTCATTGGATGAATGGATACCTCCAAATGTCATTATTAAGTCAGTAACGCAGTATTCGGCCAAACGTCTCACTTCAAGTCGTTCGGGAAACTGAAAATCTTTAGAATCACTTGGAACCTGATAACATATACCCGAAAGTTCCTCGTTGTTAACAGACGGGTCGAAAGCGTCAATTTCTAACTCCCCTCTTAGAAGTCGGTACAGGGCGGAATACATCGGGACATGGTCACAGGTCCCTCGCAGTTTGCCCCGCACATAAACGATCTGCAGAACATCACGGAGCCCCCACGGTTCTTCTCACTGATGATGTACAAATCTGGTGAGAAGTGAGGGATGATGACGTTCCACGGGTTTTTCAGAAAAAGTTAGACGGTTTTTTGACCTAGTCGAAAGAGTGGCTTTCGCTTTTCAAAGTAGGTGCTTGGGTATGAACGCAGAGCAAGCAGACCATAACGCATAGTAGTGGCAGGATTCTCCCTCCCATTCTGCCCTCATTATTGACCTATGATTGCCAAGGAGCCAAAGTAAGTTACTATTTAAAGATCATGGAGCAATATCTGTCGATCTCAGCTCTAAATTATTGTAAATATCGTCGCTATTATCATTATATCTACGCGGAAAATTCAGTAAAATATGCGTTGATGTGTTCGTCAACTGCTAATCATCTTTAGTTAGGTGAAAAGATGGAAACTGAGCACAATTGACAAGTTCTTGCTCGAAAGGTGATTCAAGAGTTCAGAGAATGGACATCGGAACAATTCCAACACTGATTGATCTGGGGAAGGAAGACTTCAGTAACTGAACTTATTCGCTGTACTGTATTGTCGACAAGCGGAACGTAACCAGGCTGCACGTTACTTTAATAAATGACCCTCGATATGTCTTACCGTTTTCCTTCAGGACAGATCAGAACACCACACGCAATGCGATAGGGGAGTGCAAAGGCAAATAACTAACAAAATCTTCATGGAGTACAAGTTTTGCGTCTAGTTACCGGCCTCGGAAATTGACTCCCAGAAGAAGTGGTGTCCGCGCCACCAGTTGACTTATTCAAGGGCCGTCTGGATGAGCACAGCAGCCCACTAGAAAAAACCTAACGCAGTCATATGGCCTGCTATGTTCGAAATACAAGTCTGAATCTCACTGTGTGCTTGGAAGCAGAGATCATGGTGTGGTAGTCTTCTGTCCAGCGTTCAGTGTGCAACCGTCACTCGAGGAACTCTGCTCTTGTCCTTGCCGCAGTAAGGCAAACTGCGTGGCGATGAACCAGCATATGTCGAGAGTACCACGGCCTCAGAAGTAGAGTAACCTTTCCATTGGTCAACACTGGGAACAAGTAAGAGATATCATCAAGAGGGCTTTCTTGGAAACGTCTCACTGGCCACGAAAATACCCAAGAAGCGAACCCCATGGCTGAAAAAAGACACGGAACGCCTCTTGAATGCAAAGAGGAGGGTATGGCGTGACTGAAGGACTTCCAGGAAGGAATCAAATCATACTGCTTGTGTGGCTCTACGAAATCCATGCAGCATCAAAGTGAGGGGGGACAGGAAGAAGTTCTAGACGAACCTTGCCCGGAAGCTTGAGGCGAACCCCAAAAACCCGTGTCAATACATGGTGGATAGAAAATTCACCGGTCAGGACGCTTGAGTTGGGAAAGGCGGAGAGAACCTATCTGGAATAGAAATCGCTGAATCCTTTAACGCCAGCTTCGACACACAAATGAACATACCATCGGCCAACCAAAATCGCCAGCTGCCCGACCAACCTCCAGCACTACTCAATGCAGTAGAGTTGCATGGAACAAAGGTAACCCCACCACGGCCCTCGAAAAGCTGTCAAAGCTCTGTGCAGGGCGATTACCGAGATGCAGTGACATCCGTTTGGCTGTGTTGCAACAGCGCGTGGGTGTCTTGTGCTGTCCGCTCCGTAATCCGTTTCAACACTCCTCAGACAAACGCATTCTACCAAGAGGGTGGAAACGTGCTACTTTGCCTTCCATCTTCGAAGGAGGAAGTAGGCAGAATCCAAGGTGCCACCGACCGAAAACACTTCTGCCAGCGGTGTCAAAAGTAATGGAGAGTCTAATAGGTGACCACGTCAAGGAGTACTTGGACAAGAGGAGTGCACTAAGTGACGCAGAACATGGGCAGGTCCTTCGCTTCAAACCTTCTGGCGGCAGGTGATAACTACACGGCATACTGGGACCTTAAGGTTCCTGTTCATGTCATTTTCCGGGATTTTGTTAAGGCCTTTAGCACGGTCCCGTACACAACCCTCATTCGTGAAACATCAGGGTCGGGTATCAACGATCAAGTGCTCTCCTGTCTAGTCGACTATTTAGACGGCAGACAATTCCCCGCACAGGCCAGCAAGGTGTCCTCGACTCGGAGGACATCATTATCTGTCGTATCGCAAGGAGCCATTCTGGGCTCGCCACTATTCCTTCTTCTTATGAACGACCTTCACTTGAATCTCAGCTCCCCAATTATACTTCACTGTGATGTTAAGTTGTGGAGGGCTGTGACATCCGAGGTGGAGTCAAGTGCACAGCAAAGCGATCACAGATTGCCCACAGAGTGGGTGAATAGTAACGGACTGGTGCTTAACCTGGATAAGTGCTGAAAAATGTTCCTTCTAACCCCTGACTCTCAGAAAGTACCCTGCTCCCTCCGTAGAATACACACATAGCGGAGAAAAGCCTGGAACTTATACCGACTGACAAGCAAGACACTAGCTGCAGTTGTCCAAAAGAGGCCTCTAGACCTTACGCATTGCTGCACCTCGCGCACGAACAACTGGATCCCCTCATTGCAGAAGTCTTCCTGAAGCTGCACGAGACCCAAATGCAACCTCACTTAGAGATTCACGTCATTGCACCACCATACCTGAAAGGAGGCCTGAACCTCCTGCAGAAAGTCCAGAGACGAGTAACAAAGGGCGCTGTGGGAATGAGGTGGAAATCCTATGAGGGCAGGCTGAAAAATCTAGGGCCCTACCCTCTTAGCTACAGCAGACTAAGCGGTGACTTGATAACGGCCCGTAAAACACTAGGTAATCCTAGTCATCCGAACAGTGGAATCCAACCGAAAGGCCACTGTGGCAATTCTCGTAGTAGCCAACGTAAAATCCCCCACTAAAGGGCAAAAACCAGTAAGCGTCCACATTTACTCTGTCTGAGAGTTTGCGGCCACTTGAAACCATTATCTACCGAGGTTGCTACTGCTCTCTGTTTACGGCTTCAAGAGGAGGTTCGATGGTTACACAGTGACGCATGATTTGGGCTCACTCAGCTGAGATACGGGCTACATTGATATAGCTTACTAACCCCACACAACTCAGCACACCCAGCCCATCGACGAATCTGCCGTGACCCCACCATCATCGCGAATCTGGCTCAACCTTAATATTTCCCTGTAGATATCTCCTCCAGTTACCATCCCACACTGATATTATTGACGTCTCGATTTCCATAACCCGTTTCATAAACCCACTTGATCCTTCTCTTCCGTCTGACCCTATGTTCGCACACTATTTAGTAAGAATTATCCCTATCACTTATCTTCCATGAAACTACTTAGGTTTCTCCTTTCGATCCGCTTCCTTTCACTTCATCTCATTTTGTTTCTTTCTCTTCGCACTTCCTCTCCCTTGATTTCTCCGGAAATTATTTCCACGTTCTTTTTACAACTAATCCAACCCACAGTCTGGTGACAAGACACTTAAAGAACCCATATGCATCACAGTCCGTGAAAAAACCACACAATCTCTACAAATTTAATCAATACCAAACCGCCCGTTGGGCCAACAGGAGCTACAGTGGGTGAGCGGATAGACCTACCGCACTGGGATCTACCGGAGACCTAGAACCGTTCTGCAAAAACCCAGAAGCGAGTGCGAAGAAATCAATTGGTTCACACTAACTCGTAAAAAATATTGGATATTGGATGGTTATTGTTTGTCAGAAACTAGGAATTAAAAGAGTTTTTTGCATTAGAAGAGTATTTGGAGTTAAGAAAAGTATATATGTAAGCTGAATGATTTAGTAGCTTCCTGAGATATTTGTTTTAGTTATGTATTTTGTTGTACTGGCCGCTTCAGTCTGTTGGCGACAAAATGTACTCCGTAATATATCGGATGAATAAACTTGCGAACTTTACAGGGAAGGAAAGGGATGAGTACAAACTGAAGTAAACAATTTATTTTCATGACATACATTCCATAAGAGCCTCTATTTGTGCTGGAATTACTAACGGTAACGATTTTTCTTCGTGTGACCAAAATGTTGGTCATTCTTTGAAACAAATCTTGAGTAGCACTACATCATTTCTAATTCTTACGGTAACGTTTTTCATTCCTAATCCCATTTTGCAGGATGAAACTCTTAAGTTTGATGAGACGGCTTCCTGTGTTACTCCCTTGGACAAATATTTTGGAGTGATTCAATTCCTAGTGCATATGAACTCACATAATTTTACATTTGATTCAGATGACACGGAAATCGGAGACTTGTGCAGCATTTATAGCCGCATACTTCTAAAGATACACAAGCGTCTTCTATTCACAGAAAATCAATCTCAAAATCTCAAATATTTCATGAAGCTAAGGGGTGAAATTACGGATCTCTTATTTCTAAGAAAAGAACAAGATTCTGTTTCAGTAATTTCTTTTTGACGTGTCTATTGCATCGCTTCCAGAAGTTTCTATCAGATACGGAAAGTTTCCTTCAGGGAGATGCACAGTGGACACATTGTAATGTCAGGAAGCTCGGTTTCAACGGCCTACTCTCATATTGGAAAGAACTTAGCAGTGTCTTGTATTATACTCTAGATGATTTTTATTCCTCATGGACCCAAAGCTATGCCAGTTGTATGGTTGTGTGTCTCCAGAACAGGTCTAACTTGATTCATTCCAAGATATCATTTTCCCAATCAGATATGCAGGTTTGTTCAACATAACGCATAAGTTTGCCACATAACATTTATATTTGTGTGCATATATATATATATATATATATATATATATATATAATTTTTAGTACGTATCGGATGTTGGCAGATATGTCTGCATTTACTGAGTGACTTGTTGTTTATTGTGTGAAAAATGCGACAATGTCTTGCTGTCTGGAGCCTTTCAGTCATAGTATATCTTGTAACCCATGAATATTAGGTAGCTATTTCAGTCAGCTTCAGCCTCACATTTCAAAGCAATATAGACAAAAAATGTTTGGAACACAAATAGATGTTTTAGATGCCAACAAGACTCTACATTTGTCTTCAGTTCTTCAGTACTGCTTTGAATTCATAAATGCTTCACATATTGACACATACTTTTTCGAACATTAGGCATTCCAGACTTACTCAACGAAATTGTAGAATGGACTATTTGAGCTGGCTGGATGTCATAATATGAGACAACGAACTTTTTTCATATTATGCACGATTTCGTTTACCACATTACTGTATTGATTTCTTCTCAGATAAAATGTGGATTCTGGTAGTCAAAGGAATTTTTTCTCATGATACTATATTTGCTGACTCCTTATAATGAAGGGTTAACTCTTTTTAAATTCCGACCAAAAATTCTCACAGTATATAACTGTCATTTGACTGACTATGTTGAATATGTTGTCATAAAACAGATTTACCTTTTTAAATAAAGGTTGGTGCAAGATAAAATAACTTCGAGCCACAAATTAGTCATTAAATTGTTAACCAGTAACAAGATGAAGATAACTCAGCCACCTAAAATTTCTCACCAGTGAGGATAAAGCTGAGTTTCTGTTTAGTATAGCAATCCATCAACAAGCACTTGCTTGACTAAAATAATTCGCCTTCTTACATGCAGCTCAGCAGTTTTTCCCCGTCTTTGTAATGTCATATATCTGTGAAGCTATCGATGATGTCCACTTTTTGATGTCTAACTTTAGCTTTACGAAAAACTGACTCTTAACCATTCAGTAAGGTATCAAACTAGTATAATCTGGTGCAAGTGTATACCACAGACCGAACGGCTGCATGGGTGCACCTGAATGCCATATGCTTTATCACTCCACCAGAAATTCATCCATGAAAATTTCTCTTGGTAGTGATGTAGGGTTTCAGACTAAATTATAACTATCTGAAATAAAACCTACAGTTTCTTATCATTTGAGAAGTTCTCAACATTTTAGCCAAAAAGACTAAAAAGCTTGTCCTTTTTGGTCTCCATAAAATCTTGAAAGAGTCTGATTCTTTGAATTTAAAATAAAGTGATTTTTGATGCACAAGCATAGCCCCATTTTAGACGGTTTTATTACAAGTGGTAAAATTGGCAATTTATGCTCCTAGTAAAGAGTGAGTATGATTGTTTTACTTTTATTTGCCTTAAATTTGCAACTAATAATTTCTTTTCTTCTTTAGAAGTTACTCGATGAAAAACAATCAAAAAAATTTTCTTTAGAAGAAATGCGTGTTATAAATGCAGTTCTAGACATATGGACCAACATATCGAGACGTTTTAAACAAATACAGCTGAATCTTGCAATGAAGATGGATTCGGCTGATTCAAATACTCACTCTGAACAACCAGCTGGTGATAATTTGAATGATCTTTTGGGAGAACCTTTTCAGAACTCAGAGACTGCCACCATAAAACTCTTTGATGTGAACTCTTTTGACTCAATTTTATTTTATGATAACCCGAGTGAATACAGTTGGGATAAAATGGGTGACTCCTATAATTTAGTTCACCCAAAAAAGCCAAAAAGTAAGTCGAAGCGTAATCGAGTGTTTTGACACACATTTCTCTGTGAGAAAATCTCTCTTTTTATCTGAGTAAAAGGCCAAACCGGAAGAATGGATGTCAAAGTTGTTCTAATAGAATGAATTCAAAAATTATGTCATATTTTAATCTCAGCAGTTCATCGCCTGGTAACTACTCTACTATTTTTTCATTCAGTCAGCATAAACTGTTTGCTTAAGAAGCTTTATTTAACTTCTACTAGGCCCATTTCTCAAAAATATTAACAAGGGAGGTTGTTATTTTTATACTTAGATGATAAAATTAAGGTTAAAAGAATGAATTGAGAGGAGTAGGTAGGCATGTTGGCCGACAAGGCCAAGATTCAATGGGTTATGTGTCATATGGGAGGCGAAAATCATCCTGTTGAGGGAAAATGCGGCTTATTTATCGAAGGAGTTAAACAGCCTTCCTTTTAGAATATTAGACTACACAGTGCATACACTTGTTAGTGTTGGGAGTCTGAATACCGTACACGTGCTGACCATTTAACACATTTCATCTGAAATCATATCCGGATAACAAAAATGAAATAATTCATAGATCGCTAAGTCAGGTGCGTGTCAAACTTATTATAGCGTACGTAGATTCATGTATATACTGCTACTTAATTGTGAAAAAAGGATTTCTTACTGAATAACGACATCTTAGTCACCGTTCTAAATGGATATCCTACCACTGTGTCATAGTAGTCAGAAAAAAATCAGTAGTTGCTGTTCGGTTCTGCCAAGATAAGGAAGGAAACCCGCCTCGGTGAGACAAATTTACAAGTTACATTACATTACAAGGTACATTATACTGCGCTCAGTAATACTTGCATCTATAGTGCATTAATATAAGAATATTACTTGCTACTACTTTGAAAAATAGTTTGAAAATTTTCTCGTGTATTTTAATCAGAGTAAAAGGTAACAGGTGTTCACTAACGAGAAAAACACTTTTACTGTATCGGATAGAACAAGAGTCTGTTCTCAACATGAGTTGTATTCCTTTGTTACGAAACATAACAAATCTTGGGGTTTTAAACTAATCACTGATTACTCTTGAAGGAATTACTATGTTGATATCTAGTTTTATGAATGCTGGATTGAAACGGCTAATTTTATATTCGATTACAACAGTGGTATTTATTGGCATACTGTACGTAAATGGGCACTGAAGTGAGAATGTAAAGAAATATTTACCAAAAACTAGAGTTGTTGGCCGACTGATTGATAGTATTTATACAAAAATTTGACTCGCAAGAAATACGATCAGGACAAGATAACTACTACTACTACTACTACTACTACTACTACTACTACTACTACTACTACTACTACTACTACTACTACTACTACTACTACTACTACTACTACTACTACTACTACTACTACTACTACTACTACTACTACTACTACTACTACTACTACTACTACTACTACTACTACTACTATTACTACTACTACTACTACTACCTAGATAGTAAATAGCCCACCAAGTGTGACATAAAGTTAACTAGGCAGCTGAGAAATTCTCATCAATAGAGGTACAATTGCTCTTCAGTCTGTTGTGGTGCAAGTAATATTTAACCAAATTATTCGACTTATAGTCAAAGATATGATCCACCTGATGTATTGTAATACTTTAACAGTTCTTTTCCGACCTCCAAGCTTGTTGAGATTGGTTGATTTCGTGGTAGTATTCATCGTGGACTAACGTCAGTTAAAGAACCTCTGAAAACCTGAGGGTAATTAAAAGCTATTTCGTCCCAGTATAGTACTCCCCAGCAGTAATCACCCAAGATCCCGACTTGCCGATGACACTGAAATGCAGCCGCACTATATAGCAAAGTGAAAGAAGGAAGTAATTTAGAAAACTGGATTTCGACTCGATCGGTGAACAACGACTTGTTCGCTAAGAGTCCTCAACGTCGTTGGCTTCATCTTTAGTGGGGTCGTAAGTGTACACTGCTGTGGAGTCCGATAATGGGACGAAACAGCTGTCCGGTGCTCCTAAGTTTTCGATGATTCTGCAACTAACGCCAGTTCGCAATTAATACTACTTTGAAATAATTTTTCATATATATCAAGGTTTAGGACAAATCAAACAAAGATCAATAAATGTTAACGTAGCTCAAGTTGACCGGTCGAATGTATTTTCTGATATTTCATCACTCTATGTTGAAATAACAAGTTGTTTCCATTGAATTTCTTTACTCATCAAAGTGACAAGAAAATATAACAAAAAGCTGCAGCGAAAAAGGATGTGGTCATTAATTTTTAGATCGAATTTCAGCTTTTTTAAAATCCCTTATGGTATTAAGAAGTGATTTTATAAGAACTAAGTTTACAAGAGTCCAGATTTCAATTCACTTGACATTTTTGAGTTGAAAAAATGTCTGTTTGAAGAGTGTAAACCAAAAGTCATAGTTATGTTCCACCTAACAAGTCTCTGAAGAAAACAAAGTTCATTTCCTCTAGTTGTCAGCTATAATTTTTTTATTTGACTTTAACTGCTAGTGATGAAAGTGATTTCTTTTTAGCTTTTTCTTTCGGAATTTCATTAAACTGATATATGCTGGTTTGTACATAATTTTCGCATGGATGAACACGCTCAAATTTATTATTGGGTAGTAGCCAATACCATGTTGTTTTGCTAATCTGACTCAAACTATCACACTTTGCAATCTAACTAATAGCTTGTGGCTTCAATACTACAGTTTATTTACTTAAGGATTTTATAATGAAAGCAGGTGGTAAAATGCATGAATATGTCATTCATTAAGTATCTGAATGTGGCATCTAGCCAGGTGATTTCGAAAAGATCTTCTTGATGAGTTCAAATAGTTATGAAGTAATGTCCGGATCTTTCTATCAGCTGCATCGGTGTTTGCTCAAGTGTACATTGTAAGGACCATTTTACCCTGTTGTAACTTGACACATGTGTAAAAAAATCACTTTCATGAGTAAGGTAACAGTAATGTCAGTATATATGCTTCACACATAGGATCCAGTTAAGACACACTAGGATGGACTTTGACCTTGACCTCTATCCAAAGATATCCTGCCCTAGTGATTTCTTTCCTCTGAAAATGCATCATGAAAAATCATTTACAGCATGAAATAATTTGTCATATGTACAGCTATAGATGAAAACCAGTCAACGATATGACCTAACACTGAATATTTCAAGAAGTTAAACTTCTGAAACAATTACTACCAATTATTTTACTTACTTCAGAGAAAAGTTTTTTCTATAGTTTGATAAATCAAATCTGTGGACAGTTCATAGATGTATCTGTGTGCTTGCATGCAACCAAAAAATCTATTGGAGCAGGGAAGGGGTAATTGATTAGTAGTAAAAAAGTTTTATTTCCTGGATCTATGAAGAAGATTAAAAACACCTAACAGTATTCACAACTGATTAATTTGCCTAAAACATTGTGGAGTTCTTCTTAACTTCATATGTCCATGTTGATAATTATTCAAACTAGAAAATTTCCTACATAACTATAATCCATAAAATTGAATCGATGGCCACCTAAAATCTCTAAATCGCTTAAAATCACGTAACAACACTTTGCTTTGTGTATGTAAACTAGCCTTAAGTAAATTTTTCAATCGTCTTTCATCCCTCTGTTTGGGATTTGAACAGTTAAAGGTAGTAGGTACCTAAGTATTAATCAATTTGTCATTGTCTAATACCTCACTAGCAACGTGTTGTAGATGAATTGATGATTAATTTTTTCCTTTTTCAGCAGATATCACATAAAATCCCATCCTCAACAATTTATCTCACTTATTATGCTTACTAGCTGACATTAAAAGGCATGACACATTAATTTTATTCTTAATTTATAATCACAAAATTATGCAAGCTTATTACGAAAATCTGTCATTTATCACATCAAAACAAATTGTTTTCGAGTCAGTAAAACAAGAGTATTCATCGACAAAGTCAAATGCTGCAGAAAGGAATTTCAGATTAAAGAAACATACTATGACAGTATATTTCTGTATGAAAGAAGTGGGATCCACTTAGGCCAACAGAAATCCAGATATCTGTTAAATTGAACCCACTCGCTTCACCTAAGAGGACTGTAATAACACGCTAAATGATCTATTCATCACCTTTTTTTCATTTAGCGGTATTTTTTCTACCCTTCTAGTTTCTGCTTTCCTCAGCATCCATTTCATAAAGTAAACATCTAGTTACTACTGAATAGTCCGTTTGGATGAAGTGGTTATGGGACAAGTATCCCGATGAACAACCTATTTATTCAGGATTATGCTGAGGAAACTAAACAGACTAGAAATGATTCGCTTTGTATGACAGAACAGTCAGCCGTACATCATGAGCCACCACAAATTTGAATAAAAAAGGATCACTGAAATGATTAGATCATAGTAGTTCGACAGTGATGCATTGAAAATCTTGAAGTGTGCTAAAAACTATGTAGGTTACATGTATATTCAAAATTTCTGCTCATAAACCACTGCCTCTTTATCTTATCTTAATATCTTCTTGTGTTATTTTATTGAAACTAATTTTTAGGTGCACTGAAAAAGTCAAATGATGAACCAATATGTTTAGGTAAGTTAATATACTTTAACGTAATTCTTATGTATCTCGTTTACTTCTGAGTTCATTGAAAGAATTTGAAGATTTAAATGCAAACTACTCATGAGTAGATTAAGTGTCAATAGGCATATAACATTCGAGTGACAAAATCTGTTAGGTTGATCATGATTGATCAAGTAAAACATTGTTTAAAATAGATTTCCTCATTTTAGAATCAAACCATTCAGCCGTTGATCTGGGTTCCGTACTTTTTTAAACTCATTAACGAAACGCATCTGCCAACTAAACCATATTTATGTTACCGTGAAAACTAGGATGTTCAACAGTCTGTGTCGAAGTCAGCGAATTTACCGCAAAGTTTCATAAGTAACGACTGACATTCTCTAGGACTGAGTCATGCATAAAAATCGGTCATTGAGTGGTGACATAGTTCAGTGATCATAATATGCACTAAATTAATAAATTTATTGGTTATCATTTTTTGACAATTTTCATACGCAAATGTTTAGAATTGTGTAACTACTACGACAGACTGAGAGACTTTTGAAAAAGATTCATGGCTAACTTTTCGATTCCATTAGTTACAACAATATAACTCAGCAACCTTGATTGGTTTGTGTCACTATTTGAATTCATTTAAAGAACTACTGAACATCGTACATTGCTGAATATGTTTTACTTGACTTGTAATTTTGACTTCTTTCAGCGCAGAACGGAGAATCGATACTGTAGAGTCAACTGCTGAGGTGGTATGAAGCATAAGCTTTCTTGTCGGTGGCAAGCATTTCCTTAACACAATAATCATAAGGAAAGACCCGATTTTAAGAAAATTAAAAAGACTATTCTTCTTTAACAGATTTCGTGATAGATTCCCCTTTATATCTTAATTGTGACTAGCTGAGATAAGTGTTATATGTTAGTGATCAGACTGACACCTCTGAAGTTAGATTACTGAACAATTGTTTTGTTTAAATGGCTAACCTTATTTATCTATATCATTTAAGGCTATCTGAGTTGTGTTTCAAAGAAAGGAATGTATAAAAAGCTTCTCTTCTTGATGAACGAGTTTTATACATACAAATCAATCTGGTTTCTTCACTTCGTCTTCATTTATCGGTTACTTGGTTATGGGCACACACAACCAGTTGACAGTCTGAAGTGTGTATTCAAAAACTGTTTTCCTCTCCATTCTTTCTGGAACTACCCCTGAAAATTGAATACACTGAGTATAATAGGTGCAAAACAACGACCTTCGCATGAAATCACGGTTCCAATCTTATGAAATTAGGATTCATATCGATAATAGTTAAATAGTACATAAGTCTGTTACTTTATCCATTGTTCAGACTATTTTTACAGGTATAATAATGTGATGTAAAACATACTTCTTAACCTAAAAGTGTTGACACCATTTAATCTGCCGTTATTTATATCATCTGAAGTATTTTAATTAATACTAGTAGATAAAACTGTGAATGCTTAAAAATATTCTTTCTTTTATTTCCCTAGAGAAAACAAACCTTTCAGGTGAAACAGAGACAATAGTATGGGAGCCAGTTTATACAATGAATAAATCTTTAATGAAATGTCTAGTTAACTTTACACTACAAACTCTTCAAGATTATGCTAACCAGCTACAACTCGGGTGTAATCCAACCGCAGTTAATCTAATGAATAGTCGTAAAGACTGTTTAAAACAATGTACAAATGGCTGGAATACTGAATATTATAATTGTTTAAATATACTATTACAAACGCCAGTATTTGCTACTTCTGCTCATGGCCCATTATTCAATGTCTCTGATATATCTATAAGTGATTTTTGGTGCCATAGAGACCGAAATATACTTGAAGAACAGTTTAACCCAGGATTTACTACACAAAATATGCTGTGTTCATGGGGTGGAGCTGTTGGGACGGCAGCAGGACTGCCTATGCCGCAAATATATATAAGCAGTGTATGTAATGCCTAATTTATGTACAGATTTCAAGCTTGATTACTATTATCTCTAATGGTAGCAATGATGGATAGTGGCTAGCAGTGGAATCCAGGATGTGCATTTCGTCCTATTGTTATCTCTGATTAAATTTCCCTTCCTTTAAACATATTTATTTTTTAACAGTTAAACTTCTATAATTATCATATATCCTAAGCATGTAATTATGCATATTCGAGCGAAATTCGATAATAGTTATAAAGTAGACGATAACTTTGAAACCTACTAGATTAATTCACTTGTCTAGAAAAGTTTGCTAGTCTCCTAAATTTAGCAGACTACACTAACCTCAAAGTGTGTACTCAGGTACAATATGTACCTTTCGCCTTGCCTTATTTAATCCTCCACACGTACTGACTAACCGGTTACGGCTCACACAGATAGACAAGCATCTGTAAACTATCAAATATTCTGTTCGATTCGCACTGATCAGTTGGACTGTCTTATTTTATTACTGATGTTTACCTTGAAAAATGTACATTGATTTGATACAAAGCACTAAGACGTATGCGCTCCCAATGTATGAAATTAAAATGTACCCAAAGTGAAGTGGAAAATTCAGTTTTGGACGATCTAAGAGGAGTATTCTTTTATGTTAATGAAAGTAGAAGGCAAATTGACGGAAATATTTCTTTATACTGGATAGCCTTGAAGTCTTGTTATCAGCAAAACATGGCTAATTTATAAGAAGTTCCATATTTCAATAGTATTCTTTATATTTTAGAAATGGGGCTTTATTCCAAGCATAATGAATGATTTCTTACATAATGGTAAGTACTTACAGTCAGATTCTGAGATGATTTTTCATAAAGAAGAGGTACCATAAGAAGTCTATGATGACAATGATGGATCTGATATTTATCCGCTATGTTATGTCAATTATCATGCTACCGGGATGTCTTCAAAATTCTGCTTGCCTAACTAGTTGTCAAAACACTGGGATGCTTTGTTTTCGTATGAAGGTTCTAGGCTGTCATGTCGGTTTGCCTCTCCATCCACTTCAAGAGCCACAGTTCTGAATTCGACCTTATTTTTTCGATGTCGTTTGTCGTACAACTCTTTTAACAATCACCAACAATACATATTACTGAAAGTTTTAAACAGACGTCATTTGACTGTTCTCTATCTCTCTCTGTCTCTTCTGCATTCAAACCTGCACCATCTATATCGGTAACAAGATACTTTGTTGAAGAAACATTTCAGTTCCGAACAAACCTTGGTACACAATCTCGTCAACATAAGGTAATCAAAGTTGCAGAATATCACCTAAAGATCAGTGCTCCAGTGACTGGAGAAGAGAAAACTGAAAACAAAGGATACTAAACTTGAATTTCCCGTGTAATCCATAGCCACAACCGTACATAAGCCTATATCTACCATCCACTGTCAATAATCTGAATCTTTCACTTTCGAGCTTAAACCCTCCAAGCTTTTTACTGAGTGAAGCATTCTCTGAACTAGTTTTGGTTATAAATGCCTCCATTTCCCACTAATAGTTTTCACCAATGAAAACTCCCTTGTTTTTAAAGTTTTACCTTTTTTAGTCTTCAGGCATTTGTCAACCAAAATCTTGATCTAAGTAGCACGTCAATCTAAATATTGATGATGAACCAATGGAAGCTTATTACCGTGAGTATTGACCATTCTACTTCTTGACTTTGACTTCCCACATAGTTGTTGTTGTTCTCATTGCTGTTGTTATGTATATATAATAGGAATAAATTCTACTTTTATTATTTTCTTTTCATCCCTGTAGTCCCTACAAACTTTTATTGCATTCAGTCTTGAAGTTCTTCTGCCCATGATACTGAATCTCTTACAAGTTGATACTGATGATAAACAATCAAAATCTCAGTCAAATAAAAACCAGAATTTAAACAGTAACTCTGATAATGAAAAGGATATTCTAATAAAAATCAATCCCTGAGCGATTCAAATGATGATAATCCACAATTACTAATTCTTAGTATAATCAATTTATTATTGACTATTTTAAATGGACATGGAATAAATACGTCAATCAAATGTGGAGATGATGACGATGATGCAGATACTACTGTTAATAATGGTAGCAGTAGTACAGAATTTGTTGGTTTAACCGCCCAGTTAAGCACCATCACATTATCTGTTGATTGGGATTTAAGTGGAATTGAAAGACTGGCGATATGCATCTCTGATTGTTTAAGTTTACGTGCATTTTGTAGTTTATTAGCTTCTGTATTTCAAAAACCAAATGAATCCCTGTTTAAAATATCCAAGTTTAATGGACAAGATGAAATGTAAGTTTCGGATTGTTTTTACGTTTCAATTTACAACAAAAAAACTGTTTATCTATAAATCTATACTGGGTGATGATTGAAAGTGAAATGAAAATTTGGACCGCAGCCGATTAGGAACCAGCGACCACCAGGTTTCCTGCCCGGGACGCTCTACCAACTGAGCTACGAGGTCTGACTACTAACCAGACTTTTATTTTATTTCATTCACCAAGGGTTTTGTCTGACTACTGTATGACTTCATGACTGGTCAGTAGTCGGACTTCATAGCTCAGTTGGTAGAGCATCGGGCAAGAAACCTGGTGGTCGCTGGCTCCAATTAGGCCGCTGTCCGAATTTCCATTTCACCTTTAATCATCACCAAGTATAGATACTAGTCTCCCAAACCACGGCTATCTCAGATAGCTGAAGTATTTATCTATAAATCGTAAAGTTAGTCAGCTGTATATATGTAAAGAGTATTCATTCCTTGCATAGCTTAATCTTTACCACTGACCAAATAACATCAAAATGACGTGGACTATGACTCATGAGGTAAGTAAATTAGATATACGACACAATTCATAAGAAAAGTCATCAAAAATATCCATTTTTGGCTTTTTCTTTGCAAAATAATTGGCTGCACTTATGTTACATTGTTAGGCATCTCGCTATTACCTTCACACTTAATCCTGTCCAGAGGTGCAACCTTTTGCATTAATGATTGCATCTCTTAGTGAAGTAATAAACAATGAGCGATCACACCTCATGAAGCCAGATAATTTTTCATGCGTTCGACAAACATAAGTATTCCCAGTCAACCACAAAAGAAAAACTTCGGTGGACGAATTTATTCGGTGTTATCATCCTCAGAGAGATATATCTTGATGGATACACAAAAGGGGAAAACTTGAGTTCGCGATCTAGTGTCCATTGATTATAACAGCTTATCGATATGCATATGTAAATATACAGATATGATTTCGGGTAATTAGCTATTCATTTGTTATAGATTTTGAAATAATCCATTCCCGATTGAGAAAAAGCCTAATTAAAATCATTATCCTATTACTTAGAAAGACTAACCTATATGATGCTTCCATAATAATATATTATTCGTTAACGCAAGCTTTATTAACGTTGCAAAAGTTGTAACTACTTTTATATCATAGAAGTTACAGTGGCAGGAATGTGGTAAGTACCTTCTACCAACTTATCTAAATATTACCAAAAACTTATCTTCAGTAGGATGGTCAGTTAGAATTTAGTCGAAGAGTATAAAAAGAATGTTGAAAGATCGTAAAAGTCTGTTGAAATGAATGCATCACAAATGCAGTATACTAGGTCCAGTTGTAACGAATGTTTAGAGGTTATGGACGTACGAATTAACTAAACATTAGTTTCTTGATAGGTATCACGGATGGGAAGGAGGAGGAAACCAGTTCCTGAAAAAACTTACTTCCTATCTTACAGACAGATGTACACCAAACAATACTGTGGTTGTAAACATAGCCAATGTGTTGTTCAACCCACAGGTAATAAAATATTATTATATTTGAATAGGTAAACAAAAGCCTCTAGTTTTCACAAAAATGTACCAATTATCTTACCTCTTTTATAATTCACTTTCTGCGTTTTCTCTGAGGTAATGGTCTTTCGGGTGAAAATCCTACCTTCAAAGGACTTTCTTGGTTAAGTTTGCGTGAATTTTTGGATATAACTAAGGAGGGTTTACGTTTGACAGACACATTGCTAATTACGTGAAGTCATTTTACATACAACTGATTCGTTTATATGCCATAGGAAGTAATCGATGCAAAGATTCCAGTGTTTTCAAAACCTTTTATATGAGTCACCAAATAGTTTACAGTAACATCGGTTAGGTTCTGAGATGCCTCCTGTCACCAGTTTTCATCAATTTACCAGACATTGGGAACATGATGCTTTAAAATAGCTGTTTCATCTTTTTCTGAAAAATTTACCAGTCTCCTCTTTCCATGACTGACTCATAAGTAGATCATTTCAAGCACTTATGATTAACGGAAATGATTGGTACTTTTAATCCAAAACAGCTTGGATAATCTTTTTGCGATGTTCACTAATGATCAACTCAAAGACTGTGATTATTAACTTCCGATATGAAGTCATAGCACCTGAGACTAATCAGTAGCTATGCGTCAGCAGAAAATAACTGACTTCGAAAGACAGTTTTTTGTATTTTATCATCAGTTGAATGAAGTTGAAAATCTTCACATCTGAAATCGGATCCAGTATTTCAGATGGTTAAACTGACGGTCATAGTAATGACGTACAGGTTTACTTCAGATAGCATTGCGATTTATGGGCAGCATTTTGACAAAAGACTTCATAACAGGGATAAATATATCCCCTATGGTTTTCAGTAACCGCCTAGGTCATGAATTATTAAGTTTTATTATTCTGATAAAATGGTGAAATATTTTAAAACAAGCTTAACATTTCATTTATATTTTCTTGTTTCTCTCACCCTTCAGAGCTTCTCTATTCCTAGGATGCGTAAAAGAATACGACGTATCAATACGCCTACTGAGTGAACAAATTACTGACATAAGTTTAGTTTATTATTACAAAATAGGCTTTACAATCGGGGAAGATCTAAAATGCTTCAATGAACTGAAATTATTACTACCAAATCATTTAAAATTACAACCACTTCAATCAGTGTTACCCAGTGAATCAAATATCGAAAATCTAAGTAAGCCTATTCATCTGATGTGGTTTATTCTGTCTAATATATGGTCAATATTAATTCAAACATGTCCAAGTGGTTTAGCAAGACAAATAATGGCGCATGTTAGTTCCAAAATTCTCGAGTCTGCTGTTCAGCAACTTCATATCACTAAAACAAAATCTGATATTGATCATTTTCAATTTAGGTGAGTAAGCATTATGTAGGTGTTTTATGAATAGAAAGTATTTGAATTATCTATCTTCTGTTGATTGAATTAAGCACACTTACTGAAAAAATTTATCTTTTATTGTTAAAAGTGTCACAACGCAGTATAGTGAAACTATCAGACTGAAACACAAAAAATTCAAATTGCAGGTAAAGCCAGTGAACTTCAGAAAACTAATCAACATGTTTCCAGATTTACAGAAATCTAGTTCACTGTAAGCCTAAGTAGATGTATAAGTCAGGACATCATAAAATGTACTTCTTGAAAGCGAATCACCAAAATGATGTCAGTCTCAGTCTTAGTGATGTTAGCAGTTAGATAGCATTACTGTTAGCCTTCAGGCCTGACTAATCAAATATTGGTGTTCCGAATACTGAACGATCATCCCGCCTGTTCACTTAATCCATTTCAAATATCCACATAAATCTGTACATGTATTTTCGATGAACTATCATGATATTGGTGAAAGCCTGATGAAGTTATCTACAAGTTGCTTATTCTTTGTCAGTATTTCTCACAGCTGTTAGCAAAAGATGAACGTGCCTAAATGACATTAATTCAGATTTACAAGTAAATGATGCTTGATAGTTATCTTTTTTTAATAGTTCGGGAAACCTTGTGATAACCAGGTGATAGGTTTGAAGTAAGGTGAGTAGTGTTAATGCAGACGAATGGATACGAGTGACTAGAAGTGGTAATATAAAATACAAGCGTAAAGCTTGGGGACTGTGGTAGAATTTAATTCCATATTAGATGCTTTATTTGATGTATAAAACACAGTGATACAGTATTATTCACTTGATGACGTCTTGAGTATAAATTGTTGCTCACAAACATATCAGTGTAATCACACCACTTTCAACAATCAATTTTTATAGTCGTGTCGTGTCAAATTCTTTGTTTTTATTGGTAGTAAAGTTTTCGATATCTCTTGTATAGGTGTTGCGTCATTCCGATTACATATCTTTGGTGTTGATTCGGTGAACAAAGATTCAGTAACCAATATCTCTCTCCACCCAACTATATTGGACTTGAGTACAGCGATTTTATCTCACCCTATTGTGTGATTGTGTGTAAATACATACTTTGCAATAGGTGAGTGTTTTTCCCGATTATTAATCTTACTCGAGTCTATCATTTTAGCTGAATTCCTGTTTGGCTCATCCAACCGACCCCGTCTGTCTAGTTTGATCTATTTACTTAACCTCACAGTTATTGCATGGAATATGATAGATTAAATTAATTTGCTTAATTACTTGGATCCTGAAGCTGACAAAGCTTATCTCTGAGTCAGTTTATAGGTTTGAATGCCACCCTAATTTCAGCCCTATCGAGAATCGTACGTAAAGTTTGTGATGTTTCTTCCTGATAGGGTAACGCAATAGTGCCTTCAAACTTACTTCTACTAGTGTTGTCGGTATTACTCATACCTGTATTATTGTTATTATTTCTTTTCTTAGATGTTTTGTACCAAAGTTATATATATATATATATATATATATATATATATATATATATATATATATATAAACCGACGCCCAACATATGTAATCGGAATGACGCAACACCTATACAAGAGATATCGAAAACTTTACTACCAATAAAAACAAAGAATTTGACACGACACGACTATAAAAATTGATTGTTGAAAGTGGTGTGATTACACTGATATGTTTGTGAGCAACAATTTATACTCAAGACATCATCAAGTGAATAATACTGTATCACTGTGTTTTATACATCAAATAAACGCATCTAATATGGAATTAAATTCTACCACAGTCCCCAAGCTTTACGCTTGTATTTTATATTACCACTTCTAGTCACTCGTATCCATTCGTCTGCATTAACACTACTCACTTTACTTCAAATTATCACGAGGTAAACTCTCTTTCATGTCCCCAAATGAAGCCCATTCAATGGTTGTCTCTTTGCATATCTAAATATTACGTTAGAAGTAATCAGGAGTTTCATTTATATAGATTTGCGATATTTGGAAATGGACTACTACTGAATAACTTGAGTTGTAAGAAACCAATCAGACTGATCTGTAAATTTTCCCAACCAGATCACAGTGATCTGAACACCTGACGCATATTTCATTCGTTTGGGGTCGACCTAGCTCATCAACGGTAAACCCGGCCAAATTAAGCTCATACAACCGAATTAGTTCCTATCACCTGAATCTGGCTTGTATAGACCGGTATATTTAGAACAGGATGATTAGTTTGCAAACGACTGATAAATTGCACGATTCATGTTGACATTTCTCATAGCTGAGTAATTTTTCATCTGCGGAAAGGTTATCAGGTGTTTAGATCACTCTGGTCTGACTGGGGAAATCCACACATTACTCCGAATGGTTCCTAAATACCCAAGATGTTCACTAGTAGTATATACATTTCGCTAGTTCACAACATATGTGTCAAAGATCCCACATACTGTGATCTTGGCTGTGTGGTTTCCAACGGCCTTCCTATTGACACGACAGTTAGGGGGCTGAAATTTACTCACCTGTGGGAAATTTTAATGTGACCGTGCAATCTGTAAATCGTTTACAAACTGATCATCCTATAGTTATATCTGGGCCTTATGATTTCAAACTCCTTTCATTTTATTGGTCTTTGAAAGAAAACCAATCCAATCGCCAGAGAAACTTCAAAGCACAAACAAAACATAAAACATAAAAACAAACTTATTCCCCGCTGGAATCGGAGAGGCGAAATGAAGCCGGTTGGTGAAAGCCTTCGGGAAGCCAGTCGGCCGATGTGTCTCCTCGCCATGAAAGCGAAAGTAAGGATGGGGATATGGAATGTCCGCACCATGTTTGAACCTAGCTGGCAAGGCTGCCCAGATTGCAAAAGAGATGAGGAGGTATGGCATGGAAGTGCTAGGCTAGGAATCTGCGAAGTAGATGGAATTGAAGTGAACTCCCCAAACTGTCAACTGGAGAGTCAATAATTCACTCCGATATTGCCACCCAGAAGACAACCACGAGCACGCTGAGTTTTGGAGTGGATATTATGATGTCCCCAACAGTATCGAAGGCTCTCAGGCAATGGAACCAATCTCCTCCTCCAGGATCAGCATCATGACAGCAAGATTCAATTCAAAGGAAGGACAGTCACAATCATACAATGCTACGCCACACATCTATAAATAAAATAATGCGGATTAAGAGGAGAAGGAGGAATTCTACAGACAACTGCGACCAACACTGGACACTACTCCAACCCAGTTGGCGACATCAAAAGCCATTCTAATGGGCAACATGAATGCCAAACTGGGAGTGGACAACACAGGAAGAGAACTAACCATGGGTCGAGAAGCGCTCGGTGAGGTGATGAACGAGAATAGAGAATTGTTTGCAGAATTCTGTGCATTCAACGATTTGGTGATTGGAGGCAGTGTGTACAAACACAAGGATATTCGCGAAGCCACATGGATTTCACCAGATGGACACACTGAAAATCAGATCGGCTTCATCTCAATGAGAAGGAAGTGGAGACGCAGCCATCCTACTGAACGAAAGATCAGATCAAGAAGAGGAGCAGACGTAGGTGGTTCACACCATTCACTATCTAGTGTGAGGAACCTACTTGCAAAATCAAGTTAAAAGCCTTCAAGAAGTTGGTGATAGACCACAGTTCAAGTTGAACACCCAGAAACCGGACATGAAGGACGAAACTACAAAGGACATCTCAACGTCAAGCATCAGGAAAAAATGGGAGATATCGAGCAACATCCCTGAAGAAACCTACATGGAAGAACACTGGAACTCTTTGAAAGTGATGTGGAAGGAAACCTGCATAACCGTGTTAGGAAGGAAGAAGAAGCAAGACGAGACAAGGAACGGGTCTCGACGGACACATGGAAGCTGATAGAGCAGGGAGAGGAAGATGGTGGTGGTGAAGCCGAAGGTGAACCAGTGCAGTGCATGGATGAACAACGAGAAGAGGAACTGAGTACAATGTGTAAGATACTACACTGGAGAAAGAAGTGAAGAAGAGTGGGTGGAAAGACAGAAGACACTTCCACAACACACTGGTAAGTGAAGCAGAACATGCTGTAGGCTGGTGAGATAGATCTGACAACATTGTATGAAATAAGCAGGTTACTATCTGATAGGGAAGAGATCAATACAGATGAAACCAATAATAGATGATGAAGGAAACCTAATTAATACCAAAGAGGAGGAACAAAGGAAACAGTGGGTTGGCCACTTCGGAAAACTCTTGAATCGACTGTCACCTACAACTCGTCCAGGAATGCCACCAGCAGCCCAGACACAGAACTATCAGTGAGCACAAGCCCTCTGACAAAAGCTGAAGTGAAGTCCTGAACGCCACGCCATAAAGTTGTTGAAATCCGGGAAAGCAGCTGGACCAGATGGAATCCCTAGAAGCACTAAAAACAGACACAGAGACAACAGCGGACATGCTCACACCACTACTGCAGAAGGCTTGGAAGGAAGGGAAGGTACCCGCAGATTGGAAAAAAGGCTATCTCGTCAAACTCCTGAAGAAGGGCTATCTAAGTCTTACAAGAACAAGACTGGCGTGAATCATGATCCTGTTCACCCCGAGCAAGCAAAATATTAAGCCGTCTCATCCTGGAAGACTAAAAAACCCTCTGCACTCAAAATTACTACCGGAACAGGCTGGCTGGCTTGAGAAAGAACAAATCATGTTCGGATAAAATTGCAACGCAACGCTACGCATCATCATAGAACAGAGTATAGAATGCCAGTCAACTCTCTATCTCAACTTCGTCGATTTTGACAGCGTCGATCGAGAAGTAACTTGGCGACTGCTTCAAAACTATGGAATACCACAAACTTTATCAATCTCATTCAACAAATATATGAAGGTACCACATGCCAAGTAATTCACAACGGAAAGCTCAGTGCTGTCTTTGAAGTGAAGTGGAGACAGGAGTAGGACAAGGCTGTCTACTATCACTGATGATCTTCCTCATTGTGGTCGACTGGACTGGATCATGAAGCAAACCGTGAGAAGCGAGATGCCCATACGCTGTATGAACGATGAAAAGGTGACAGAAGATTTGGATTTCGCCGATGATGATTTATGTCTGCCTAATGTCGCACAAACTAGAAGATCTACAGGCGAAATCTAACAAGTTGACGGAAGATGTAAGGCAGCAAAGACAGGACTTCCTTCAGGTGAACTTAGAGAAGACAGAGGTGATGAAGATACCCAACCAACAACAGCATTGACAACAAGCACCAATGACCATCAACACGATAAATACAAAGGAAGTTGTCTCTTTCACCTACTTAGGCAGTATCGTTTCAAATACAGGTGGCGAAAGCACAGACGAGGATATCAAAACCAGGATGGAAAGAGAGCAAAACAGGCTTTCATTAATCTGAAATCAGTGTGGAAGTCTTCTACACTCTACTGAATAAAAACAAGATCTGGATTTTCAAAACCAATGTCAAGTCAGTGATGCTATATGGTTCAGAAACTTGGCACGTCACGAAAGCACCTCCAACAAACTACAAACATTCATCAACAGCTGCCACCTACACTGGCTCCATACTGAAGATCAGATGGACACAAAGAATAGGCAACAAACAACTCTGGTTGGCAACGAACCAACGAAGCAAGAACCTATCACCCAACAAACATGCAGAGGGAGAAAGTGGAGATGGATTGGGCATACACTGAGAAGGCCGATTGGGGACATCACGCACCAGACCTGACCCTCGAGTGGAATCCGAAGGGGAAACGACGAGCTGGGCGTCCGAGGCGAGGGTGACATGAATGAGACCATGTGAGGAAGAAATGAAAGCTTGTGGGTAGTGATGGATCGATGTTGGAAAGAGTATAGAGAAGAGAGTGGAATGGAGACGTTCTACTGAAGCCCTATTTTCTACTAGGAACCCAAAGGACAAATAATAATAATAATGACCTCAAAGTTCTTTCATTTTATTGTTTTTACTTATAATTTTATCAATTTTACACATCTTATTTCATTTCAGAGATGGATTATGGTTTGTCCTCGGTATTGCAAAATTTTCACTGTATCGATCAGCTGAAACAATTTCAGAAGTATTAGGATTAGGAAATCTTTCAGTTGAACTGAATACAATACACACAACAGCATTATTGACCGCACAAATGCTGATATCATGTTATACTCCAAAAGATCTATGGAACAAGTAAGTGACTTTTGAAATGGACATTCGTAGTAATAATTAAACGTCTGGAAATTTGTTACTTACCGTCAACTCTTCTTACATCTCCTCTAATAAATAAACTATTAGAATAACTGATTTGCATATATATATATATATATATATATATATATATATATATATATATATATATTATTATATATATATATATATATATATATATATCAAACTTGCAAACACTAGAGAGCTGTTTTGTTACTGCTTCGGACTCCAAGCAGTCTGCACCCATTAGTGATCCGACTCAGGTCCATCATTTTCTCAAAGCAAGCACTGTACCGTTCAGCCAGTAGGTCGGATTCCAGTGGTTTACTTTTTCCAAATCCTTCGGTTCGGGATATTATGTAACCGTCATCCAATATCAAGGATAGGCATCCATCTCCACTACTAACTGTTTACCTATAATTGGGAAGTCGGTTCATTTTAATACATTTTTACTTGAGACTGGCTCGTTTTAACGATCAAAATAAGAATAACAGTGATAAAATATTCTTTTTTGGGGGAATTTTTGCCGTTGTAACAATCGAAGTAATTTTAAACACTTTTATCATTTGCAAAACCATAGACTCCATGAAGAAGGATTTTACAGTCAAGTATCAGGAGATAAGAATAAAACATTTGACTTCAGTTTGTCTAACTGGTTGAGAATTGCTGATCCAGCACTATTTCAAGATATCCCAATACACTTAATGTAAGTATCCAGATTGTGTTTGTTTTATTCTGTGGTTAGTTTATATCTTTCCTAATGAATTTAATTCTGTAAAGTTCAGTTTTTCTTTAGTAGTAGTTCTCGCCGGAAAACGCTTCTTTGAACTCTTGAACGCTATCTTTTTGGTTTGATGTAGGGAGTTCTGAATATCTTATGTCCATTTTATGTATGTTCCAGAGGGTGATTTATGACAGTTAGTAGATTTTTACATAAATGACCTGTCTAGAGGCTGTTTGAATTTGATTGTCTTGAGTTTATGAAACGGTTAAAGTAGATTATATTTCTCTAGAATACTTATTTGTTAGAATTGGAAAGGATTTATCTGAACTTTCAGTCTTTATTGCCAAAAATTGAATAAACGGCGTGAAAAATGTTCGTTGATATTCCTCTCAGTGACATCTGCAGATTGATTTAGTAGACCTAATTATTCATGTCGTCCAGGAGTGTTTATTCCAGTTAATGATATTTTGTTTCAGACATTATAACTTAATAATCTGGAGAGACTGCTTCTAAAGGGAACCTGGTTTATTGCACAGTAGGTTGATCAAAAAAATCAATTATTTGTGTAAAATGTCTTCATGAACCATATAATCTATATATAACTTCATAGCTCCCACTGTAATTTCAGAAAGAAGAACTTTGATGAAGAGATCTCTTTTTAGTAAATCTGTTCTCAAACTTCACATTGGTTTGATATATAGGATGGATTGTGGGTAGCAGTGAAACCTAGGATGAGCATTGAGTCCTGTTAGGGACTCGTCAGCCGGACGTACCTGCCCTCCAGTGAGTGGTTCTGCCCCCACTGAGACTGGAAGTCAGGACACTGACTTGTACATGTAATGCTTTAAAACTGTAATCCGTGAAGAAACTAAAGTAGTGAATAAAGGAAGTAACAGAAATGATGTTTATCGTTAAGAAAGAGTTATCCAATTTTTCAAAATCATTTGTGAGGTATTCTTTGGTTGCAGCGGTGGTGGGAATCGTAAAAATAATGCAGGAAAAAGTAAAGCACCAAGTAATATGAATGAAACTCTGAATACAAGAATTACAGGACAGTAGTAAAGGCGATAACACGATCATGCAACAGCTAATGAAATCTGTGGTCGACCACTGTAGATGTATGAGCAGATCCCACGTGGTCATGATCAATAAGAAATTACCGGAAGTATACATTTACTTATTTTTGAATAGAGATACGAATCATCAATTAAATTCCACATCGGCGAGTCAATCAATCAGTATTTCAATCATTCTTATTTTGGTAGTGCAGGCTTTTCCTAACTACCGATTTCGTTCAACGTAGCATAGTTTAAACCATACTGTACTGGATAACAAAATCCTTTTTTTTTCAAGTTGGTATTAATCTTTTATTTTTCTTTCATGTTTATCATCTTTTGAATAGAATATGAATTATATCCCGACACAGAAAACTGTTCACTGAAAATGTTTACATCCTTTTCTGTATGTTTATACAACAGATTATGCTGAATTTCTACAGTAATACTTGACAACCAGTTAAGTTTATATCTTCTGCACCAGATCCTATTAGCTTATGTTTGATTCTCTATCATAATCATAAGTACCTTATCAAGGAAGACGCTTTATGTTCAAATTTTATAAAACGTATTTTGTAAACAACATTTCTGTATAATAAAGGAGAAAATTCTTGGAATGAAATGAGATGAAAGGTACAGTTAGCCGAATACTGCATTTCTGATAGTATTACAAAAATCACACCTAACGAAGATTGTGATGGTAGACTAAACCATAAACTTCAACTAAACTCTAACAAAAATAAAGTATGAAATAGAGATGGTAAAAACAGGAGCCTTTCTCATTTTTGTTCTTTCTGCGATTATTCCTTTAGTTATCACCTCCTTATTGTCTTACATTTTTACCACCAACTCCATTCATTACTGCCACTATTTTCTATTGTTTCAATACTGGATATCTTAGTCCTTATGTGGGTGGGTTTGTAAGTCAGTGGATTGAAAGTCAACTTACAGGCATTGGGTCATAGGTTTGAACCTTGCCTTGCTTAACACTGATTGAGAAGTTGGATAACATCACACACTACATGGAATAGGTGACTTACTGACTAGAAAAAAAACCTTTGGATCTTGTAGGATACTATCCTACCAGACGAATAAACATGCAACTTGTTTGTTATACTCCTATCATAATCAACCAGTATTCAAGAGGCTACATCCAAGAGCTAGGGAAGTATATTTGAACGTTTGTGATTATCATCAGAGATGTAAGCAACGCAAGCTTGCTACAGAGCACACTTGTGCAATGCAACGTATCACAAAAGCTATCCAAACACCAGTGATGTCTGAAAGGGGTGAGATCTTTCCACTAAAGCCTAGAGAATCAGGAATCAGTGTAGAATATGTATAAAGTGTCATTTACTAACTATAGAGTGCTGTTTAACTCCACAAAGGTGTGATTCATTTTTGATACACATTTGAGATAGCTTTAATCTACCATATGAGTACTGCTAAATAAGGTGATAAAAAAAGTAATTCCACTTAATGATTTTTCCACATGAATCTAACGAATCTCAAGTCACAAGAAGATAAGATGTCTAACTCACCAAAAATCTAAAAACCTTTCAACGGCGTTCTGATTTCATTAAATGCACCTCCGTTTATAGTAGCAACTTGATATTTTGAAAAGTCTCACTTTTCTCTAAAAATCCAAGACTAAAACAACTACAAACTCCTCCTGTTCCTAAATATGTGATCGATAATATCTTCACTGCAAACTAAAGGTGCAATAGAGAGTTAGTCGAATACTAAGTACTTCCAGGCTCCCTAGGGAACTTTAATATACTTCAGTCTCTACTTTTATATATCTTTACCAATGATTTGCTATGGTCTGAATTATGTATGTGTGCAGACTACTGTATATAAGGATGTTTGTACAAATACCTTCAGATCCCACCCTTTCTGGTCACTCAGTTTCGCCGTAAATGAGAAAAGCGGTAATAGAACAAAAGGTGTATTTACAACGTCAACACCAACGTCCCTAGTATCTACAAATGTGAATGTACAATGGTCTAGGCTATTTCCAGGCTTACTTGACTTAAATACCATTGATTTTTCACCTCTTCAACCAACCTGATACTTACAAGTTGGTTCGCATGTTTTTCTTCGAAATTTCGACGTAAAGCGATTGGCTGAAAAAGGCTTTAGGTATATGCGCTTCTTACGAAGATTTTATCAATCCTTCTCCACACTATATCTGAAACTAACATGATTTTATAAACTTCAGGATCTAAATTTGACCTGATAGAGTTGAATAAGTCGAGCGTTGGGTAATTGGATTATAAATGAAATATATTTTGTAAAATCCCAATGATTTTATAAAATATATTTTATTTATAACACGATTTTAGTTGCCCGAACAATGCAGTATTCTAAACTACATCCGTCTAGCACCACTGATGAGAGGCAGTACCAAAAACTAATAAATAGATACTTGTCATCTACACCCCAGTGATTTATTTTTAAGTTGTACCGTTACGGTTATCACCAACTCTCTCTGTCTACATGGTACAAAAAACAACTTTTTTTAATGAAGAAAAACCCCTATTTGTTCGCTGAAAAACAAAAAGATGTTAAAGCGAAGATGCCTATCTATTCGACCGCTCATTTTCACAGTTGTGCATTCGTAAATTTGTCAGTAAACTGATAGAATGTTCCAGAAAAGTTTCCGGTCAAAGATTAGACTTAATCAATAGGTGTATGTAGGGAATGAAATGATATCACGCAACACAAGATATGATCTTAATAGTTTTTAGAAACTGCGGTGAATAGTATGATTTGGTATCTGGCAAAAATAAATAACTCAACATGCAATAAAATATAAACAAATAAAATACAAACTGAAGTGCAGACTACTTGACTGAGACCATAGTAAAGAGGGTGTTTGTGCATGTTTTTTTTGAAAATACAACTGGTGTTTGAAGCTGTGAATTTCCGAAGTCTCAGCTGCATGTAAGTGTCTAATCCTTACCCCTTTTGAACGGTTTGGCCGAACTTTGTAGAGAACTTTGGACGAGGTTTCCGAAGGAGCCAGATATCCAAAAGTCCATGAAATGTTAAACGATGGAGCTGGAGATGGTTTTGTGCTCACCATTCAGCAACCTGACCACGTAATGTTCGCAAGGGTATAGTATGGACGATGTACTCAGCTCCATAGCAGCAAGTGAACTTGTCAATACACATTTACAAGGCCTAATGCGCTAGCTTGTCTTTGACGCACTGTAAAATCACCTGTTGACGTGAGAACACAATACGGAAGTTTGCGGCAAAAAGTTTTCTACATGGCGATTTAGACAGACTTTAAAGAAGGATGTCTGCGGCAATTACACCTCTAAATCTGAGACTCATTAAAAGCATTTTTTTCGAAGCTGTCTGAATCTGTTCCATGGTCTTATTTTCTTTGATATTTTTCTCTACTAATCTGAATGGGTAGCCATTCTGTAACAGTATTTCTCAGAGGGTTTCTGATTCCAGATATAAGTGACCGTACAAGAATCCTCTTCCTGCTTTAAGGTACCCAACTCTGAAAGTTGGTCAGCCGCCCGTTCAAGATGGGCTTTCTGTGGATAGATCTTTGAATGAAATTATCAGGAGTCCTTTGGAGTTTGACATCGAGGAAGCGAAACGTCCAGTTTGATTCAGTTTCTAGTGAAAATTTGACTGAAGAGTGGCTGTCGTTGTCATCACAAATAAGCAAGTTATCGTTCGAGTACTTTATCTTCTCTGCAGCCTCTTTTTGTTTTTTAAATAACTTTTCATACAAGTTCTTATTCTTTGACACTTAACACTAAAGTCAACCATTAATGTATCATAAAAAATACTTAGAGAACTTCTGCATTATTGCCAAATAATCTCTCCTATTTCAAATCAAATACAAACAAGCATGTTAACGCCATCGGTGGTAAAACTGATGTGTTGGAACAATTATTATAAATTTGACTACTAAGTGAAGGGTGAGATAACTTCTCAATAGTTGGCTTTTCTTGGTAGCAATTGTGTTTTCTTCTCACCAAGTGTCACTTATTTTAATTTCAGGAAAGAACAGCCCAACAAACAGAACTGGAAATAGAAATCAAACTATTATCAGCGTCAGCTCATTTTGACCCAGTTAGAATAATCAGTGTAAGTTGAAAATTTTTAAACAACAGGATATGTTCATTATTTTGGTATTTGTGTTTCCCAACAAATGAATAACAAAAAGGATTATTTATACTGACGTTTCAGTATTGAGTGCTGCTAACTCCATCAAAATTATAACTTTAATACTACTACCAAAATAATGAGTATCATTTAACCATTGTCCTCATTTTTTTAACAAGATGTATTTCTATTCAGGTAGTTCAATTTCTAAGGCAACCTTCGATAAAATAATGACGTGAAATAAAAGTTCACCTAAATTCCTTTCGTTACATACATTGACAAAAGCTGTTGTCTTGGCAACTGATGGTGCGATATTCACTGATAATTTGTGCTACTTATAAGTTACTGTTAGCAGCTGACGAAAGGACATGAAATGAAATGGGCTCATTTTATTCTGCAAATTTCTTTGCTCATGCATTGTTCAAGTTAATAAACTATTTGAAGAGTCCCCTTTCATTGTCAGTAGTAACAACTAATTCCTATGATTACTTCTAGATGTGAGACATTTATATCAGCCTTTCATTATTCTGAAATCAGTGTGGAAGTCTTCTACACTCTACTGAATAAAAAACAAGATCTGGATTTTCAAATCCAATGTCAAGTCAGTGATGCTATATGGTTCAGAAACTTGGCGCGTCACAAAAGCACCTCCAACAAACTATAAACATTCATCAACAGCTGCCACCTACACTGGCTCCATACTGAAGATCAGATGGACACAAAGAATAGGCAACAAACAACTCTGGTTGGCAACGAACCAACGAAGCAAGAACCTATCACCCAACAAACATGCAGAGGGAGAAAGTGGAGATGGATTGGGCATACACTGAGAAGGCCGATTGGGGACATCACGCACCAGACCTGACCCTCGAGTGGAATCCGAAGGGGAAACGACGAGCTGGGCGTCCGAGGCGAGGGTGACATGAATGAGACCATGTGAGGAAGAAATGAAAGCTTGTGGGTAGTGATGGATCGATGTTGGAAAGAGTATAGAGAAGAGAGTGGAATGGAGACGTTCTACTGAAGCCCTATTTTCTACTAGGAACCCAAGGGGAATATATATATATATATATATATATATATATATATATATATATATATATATATGTAGGATGTGATCAAAGTGAATATTTCACTTATTAAACAACTCAGTTATTGGTGCATTATTTCATTCGTAAAGTGATTATTATTATTATTGTCATTACTATTATAGTTTTATTATTACGGTCCCATACACTTCACATTTAATCCAAAACATTGGAGATAGAATCTTAATTATGGTCTCGGTTTTAAGACAACTAGGCAACCTACTTTAGAAGTGCGCATATCATCACGCATGTACTTAAAATTAATAAAAGACAATAGAACTACATTAATTCCTACAGAATTTCCAAAATATGATCAGTAGACATTTCAAGTTGCTTATGACTCTACATTGTGACAAATAGTTCATTTGGGGAGCAAGTGAGTCTTTATTCATGAACAATTCAAACCTGCTGGAATGATTAAAAAAAGTTGAAAGTTAGTGAGGTTCATAGTTTTTGTAAGACAATTTTTGTGAAGGTCTGACAAAATAAATATTGACCGGTTGAGAAGAAGATACTTCCAATGAAAGAAGGGAAGAAACTTGAAAAGAGTCGATTAAGCTTGAAGAATGAGGAAAATAAGAACTGATTCTAATTAAACCATATAGACAAAGATGAAGATAATCAACAGTAGTCAAAATCAAAATGTAGGTGAGTTGGTGTTCACTTAGAATGAACAGCATAGAATTATTCCATATATTCATCTTCTATGCAAAATGCGGAACGTTTTCAAATTGTCAAATATATTTTCACTGCTTTTTTGTAATTCAGTACCCTTAATATTTTGTGGTTAAGTCATTTAGGATGGATAATCATACATTTCTATATAAAGCTGCCTTCTGAGATGTTACTAGTTCCAGACATTTTGATGAATTACTAAGGTATGTATTAGTTAAATAGCCGACGGAAATCTGTGACTACTGAATAACTACATAATCCAGTGTTTTTGAATTTTTAATCAGCAGGATTTCATTAAGACTTGTGAAATATAATTTTAAACCTTCTGCCTAAGCGACTAGTGGGTAATGGATTTTTATGTCACTGATCTGAGTGTCAACTAGTGAATAGCGCTTTCCATTTCAAACAAGTCTTGATATTCTTAAATTTGATGTAGCCTGCTTTCATCATGCAGAATTATTAGACGTACCGTGAGACCTTCTGTTTTAAAACAAATAGTTATGCAAAACTAGGCGGTTTTTGTAACATATATCCTTGTAAAAGAAATAAATTACAACTTCTGTTTCCTTCTTTTTTCATATCAACACAACTTTTATAGTTGTTAACTTCATGGAACTACAAAATAAGTTTGTTGATACTTGAATCACCATATCTGAATGAATCGATGAATTTGTTAACAACTGAAAGCAAACTTGTAGCACGTCAGGTATTCATCGCTATATCACGTATACTAGATGCAGTCCCGGAATATGCGGACTTTTTAGGCAAAGTTATAGAAACGGCAGTTCCAAGGTAAGATAACTTTTTAAAATTATCATTAAAATAGGCCATTTACTCTATTGTTTTTCTAAAGTGTGAAGTTCATATTCATATTTCTTATTACTGAATAATTTACTCCTTAACTAACTACCTTGACGGTAATACAACCGAAGTTGTCCATAACTGTAGACTGTTCTGTTACTTTTCGAGGTCAATAAAATGAACGAGTTTATGTCGTCTGTATCATCTGGTTGATTAGGTTTAATCCATCGTGCCACACTGTTACAGAGTTCAGTTGCAAAAAAGACGCCTATAGAAACGCCTCCTCCATAAATATTAGCAGGCTTTGCTAGAAATACCCCCTACCTTGCACCACTAGGTACAAAACGAACCACTTTATTCACCTGCTATATATACTTCGTACTTGATCCACAGAATTCCATTAGAACTGCGAACCAGACAACATGACATGATTCTTTATTCATTGATTGATTACTGTGGAAATCAAAGTGTTTATTGTCATCAGCTTACATACAATGGTAAACACTTACATTGTCAAGTCGTATGAAACGTCTTGGCGACAACTTACCTAGATCATAATTCAAGCGGTTTGTGGGAGTTAACTGATTTCAATGTAGTTTCCATCATGAACTGAAATCACTTGGAAAATTGGAAACCTGGAAGCACTCCAAATTTATTCCATCCTAGTTTGTGACTCCTCGGGAATCCACACGAACCGTCCCAAAAGAGATCAAACGCAGCATCATCATGTCTCACAGTGAACACATCATTCCGCCACTGACCTAGAGTCCAGTGGTCCACACTTTGTTACTCCTGTTATTTCGCAATGCAGCGTGACCATCATTCAATGCTATCGTTGGGTAGTCGTCTTCACCCTTGACTTTGTCGGTCCCGCAAGCCATAGCTTTTTGTTAGAACTTCGGAAACCTCATCTCAAAGTAAGTCACCGATGAACACTAAGATGTAATTCAAGTGGGGGGTTGCGAAAATTTATTGAAACCAATAAGTCTTCCAGAAGCAATTTAATCTTCAGGCTGATACTCATCGTCGAATGATATCAGCTGGGGAGACACTGAAAACCTGGGAACACTCGACAGTTTCTTCCTGTTATGGGACTTCTCAGCAGTGAGCACCCATGTCCCTGTCAGTGATCGGACCGAGAGCCTTTGGCTTCCGTGGCCAACATGTTACCCTTAAGCCACTGCTGGAGTCTCGAGTTGGCACTGATGAGGAGTCCCATACTAGGACGAAATTACTGTCCGATGTTCCCAGGTTTCCAATTTTTCTCCAACTGGTGTCAGTTCATGATGAATATCAACCTAAAATCAGTAGATAAGTCCCCACAAACCTCCAAATTGATTTTAGTCATTAATCTACAATTTTCCATGAAAACCCCAGTACTGAAGATTATCTTTTGGCTGATCATAAGCAGTTGCAGAAGTTCTTAGCCCTAAATTTCTCTGGAAAGACTGTTCCTCTTGTTTTTCCTTATATTTTAGGTCAGAAACTAATAAATTGTTTAGTCGAACGAAATTAAATCATGAGGAATGGCCCTTATGGTTTACTGTACTAGTGGAACTAATGACTGAACCTCTTGAAAGGTGAGTTAAGGCCTGAGTGATTTGAATGAATGATCTGATTTTGTCTTCATTTGCTTTTCACAATGAAAATCTGATAAGAAACCACTCTTGGTAGATTAACTTGATAACATCTCATTCTTAGCTCCAATGTTATGCATATTTAGCTGTTTCGACATAGTCTCTTTTTTAAAGTGACATGTACTGAGGTTTCACTCCAATTTTTGGCTCATCTCGGTGTCCCGAACTGGTCTACAGATCTATAAACGTTTCGACAGACCAACTTTGTTATTTGCCTCCTCCTCCAGCCAAGTAGAAAACATCCAAGGAACGCATCCACATGAAAACGAACATTCCTGCCAGAGCATCCCGTTAACTCCTCCTTAGCTGATGAGTGTTATCTCAGAACCCTCCTAACTATCAGGCTACAAAATATCCACATCCGCCTGATAATCGCTTCGTTGGCCGTACTCACCTCTCCATGAGTTGACGTATGTGGCCCAGGTCTCACTCAAGTCTCTACAACCTCGTGGACCTAAGTGCAGCTCATCTTCCTCGAAAACATTCTTCTAGGATACCTGGCCTGTGAAACCAGAATGCCAACAGATTCAAAGTGGTGGTTCCATTCAGGATACTGAGTTACAGCCTAGACTAAGGCTAACGATACTGGCACCCTGAACAGATTATCGCTCACCTTCGCAAGGTTAGACTACATTTGTCTTTTGGGCTTTTTTCAACAACGACGACTACTGAAATCAGGAAGCTGGATTCACTTTACCTTTTGGTTGGACTTTTCCCAGCACATTCACAGGAATCATGACGGCTAACAAAGCCGTCCGTGTTTGGGAGACCCACTTTACTGATTACAGCCATATGGGTCTCGTCAGCCGTGGTTTTTGCTAGGTCAACTTGGTGGCGTATTGGCTGATATCCAGTGGGGCCATGATGAGGTTCACCGATTTACGTAACTGGACTCGGCCCGTAATCCCTCAGCACGTAACTGTAGAGCACATCAATGCTGGTAGAGAGGCATAGTTACTCCTACTCCAATGTTATGGATATGTAGCTGTTTCAGCATATTCTATTTTCTGATTGGTACTAACTTGCAGTTCAACATTCAGAAATATCACCTATTCAGGTAAATTTGCTAATGAATAATCAGTGCATTTCACTGGTAGGTCTAAAATGTTCTTTCAGTTATGTTTCATCCCCTGAAGTTTTGTTGTCGTTCTAGCCAACGTCATCAGCACATACTTCAAAAAACAGTAAACTATGATAGATTTACTACTAGTGCTTTCTTAACAGGTCCTGATGACTTCTAATGTGACTGGAGGTTTCTGTGGTTGTGACATCACAGCTTGCACATTCACTTGATATTTGACTCTGTAGTTACCTAGGTTGTTTCTCATTAGCTAGCAGACTGGGTTTACACCAACATATCAAGTCACTACTTGTTGATTTCGGTATTAATCCTGCAAAAATAATTTTGTATTCCTCGTGTTATCTTTATCTACAATTTCCATATTTTCTTAGATGAATTTATGCCTGTTGTTTTCATCACGCGTTAATATAAGCGAAAATGTTTCGTGAGGCTTAGCAACTGCTTGGTATTTATATAGTTCATGCAGTGTTTCTTACGACTGTGAGCAACAATAATGCTAAATAGTCTAGTTGTAATCCACTATGTCGTCGTTCACGTAAGTTGGAGCTATTCGTCTGCTGACTTCGAGAGCTATATTTGTAGTCAATAAACCTTCGATACAGTTATGTGGTTAGACATTTTTCATTTCTACTCCTTTCTGAAGACAAATTGTATCTTGACTCTTTTGAAAAACGCTTGCACTTCCAATTTTGCATTTTTTACTGTAGTTGAGAATTCGTCAATATATATTGTTGGTTTCCTAAAGACTATAGTCTTTAACTTTTTTATTTTGTTGTATCTTTTGGCTCCTCTTTCGTTATGAATTCAACATCTTCGAAGACGTTGCTGATCAATATGTATCCAGTTTTCTATTCAGTCTGTTTATGATCATATTTATCAACTGCATAGTGGATTTAAAGTTTAATCACTGACAAAACGACAGTATTTAGTCCTTGCATCACCCCTTCTAAAATTAATCAGGGTATTAGCGATCCTGCTGCTAATTTTTTCACCCATTTGTACGGTTTTCTGTGTAGAAAAAAATAGATTGACTGTATCATTCTTCAAGTATAAAGTTTCATTGCTGTCAAAAAATGTTTTTCAGAGGCGAAGAGGAAAAAAGTAATATGGTTTGTTAGTCTAGTTCCAGCCGACAAGCATAGAACATACCAATTGGAAAATTTGTAATCTGGTCATTTTTGAATCAGGACCCCTTTGATGTTCCCAAAATGGTATTGAAGAATCGACAGGATATTCAAATTTAGTAACTACATGAAATTTACTTTGCTGGTGAAAGTCATGTTGCTTTATGAGTATTCTTGAACGTTTGCCTCATTCATAGTGTGATTTTTGAATTCCGGTTCATTTGTTTAAGTGCTGGCTAGCAATAGAATTCAGGACAAATTTTATTGTCCTATTTTACCCGTATATTTGAACTCGTTAAGAGAATAAACAGATACTACAAAGCACAAATAAGTAATTGTCGTCACTCAGAAGTCAGCTTTTATGACTGAGGTTTTGAACAATGATTCTGAGCCTGAGAACAGTTGAGTGGACAGAGAATATGCTAGTTTACAACTGTGTGTTGTTGAGGACCGATTAATGGGTGGTCTGAGGGGTATATCCGCACCGATAAGTTCGATTTTCACTATTTTCAAATAAACGTTTGCAGTAAAGAATATTTTCTATTTTAAACTTATGGGAGCCAGTCTTCGAGCTTACACTCCAAACGTCGCTTGCTAAACAATGTTAAATCAGTAACAATATCTGTGACACTAAGTTTGTTTCTTACTTTAACATTAAACAATCAGTTTCCTGCCTGCTTGTTTTGAGCATTATGAGGGAGCTAATACAAGCTTACAGTCTTCAAGAATTTATTTACTAGGTTAGTATATTGGGGATCTCTTCCAAGGGTAGGGGTCGGTCATATAGCGCACTGTAAAACCCAACTTAACTTTAACTTAGGTGAATCCGTCAGCCCGTTATAAACAGATATGCTTTAAAAACAGCATTGGTTAGATACTTCTTATTTTCTTATATTGTTAACTTGTCACAGTATGATATCATTTAAGAAGACTGAGTTAATTCTGATCAGATAGTTATCCACCAATTAGCTGTGGAATACTGACCATTACTGCTTACGGTGAACTTACTCATGCATTTCATTTACTGGCTGTCCACGTGCCTCAAAAACTGAATGGAAACCAAGCGGTACAATAATCGTTTTGATGAAATTATTATTCAGTTATGTAAAACACTTGCTTACCTACAAAAACTTAATACAAAACATATACAGTAATGTATTTAGAGGTTAGTGAGGATTTTTTTCAGGGTAAACTTCATCACTGACTGGTTCTCATGAAGGCTACCTTAAACAAAATACATACGATTAGAAAGTACTTGGTAAGTAACCGGTTGTTACTAAATGGCATCCACTGATCACTGAATGCCCTTTGAATCTAGATCTTTCAGTATAGAACAGAATTTTGAACTTATATGCTTTATAATTTCACCACTTACCTCTTACAGTGGTATAAGTATAGCATGGTGAGGTAGTGCGACCTATCATCATCATCCTTTAACGAACCTGACCGATAAGTATCAGCAGGATAGTTGTTTTTAGTCCATATTAGATTTCGTTATTTGATCTAACACAGTGACACAAAAGTAAATACCGGATGAGGTTTGCCTCATAAACTATTACTCATAATCAAATCAAAGTCATTATATGCAGTAATGTATTCTTTAAACGTCAGCCAATAAATAATATTGTATCACTATGTGTTCAGAGTGAATTGTTCTCTCAGCCAGTGTTATGGCCGGCAAAAGTTTCAGTATCATGCTAGATTACATGATAAATGCATCACAGCTTTACCAGGAAGTTAAACAACTGGTTTGTCTGAGTATACTCTGATTGGTCACTTAGTGTGTACTTGAGCTTGTGCTGAACCTAAAATCATCAGCTAGAATACTCTCTAGCATGGAATATAAGCAACCTACTACTTACAAATTTTTCTAGTAGATTATGAGCCATACTCAATATGTGGTAGGTAACGATATCACACGGAAGTACTTTCAAACCTGCTACCTAGACCATTCACCTTGAGTATAAGCAAATCTTCGCTTAGTATTAAAAATCTATTTTGCTTGTAATTATCTTTAAACATTTTTTAATCACTGAATATTGAATTTAAATTACCATTTGTGGTTCATTCACCACTTTTAGAGTATGGATTCATTTCAAAGAATTAAAGCAGCAGAGACTGGAAGAAGATGAATCCTTTCAAGATCATAATTTAAGAGATAAATTGAACGAAAATCCTGAAGTCATATTTGCCAACTATACACCGAAAAGAAGAGCTTACTGGAATGTCTTATTTCCATCAAATCAAATGCCATGTGGATGTTCGCTACCTGAACCATTTCACTTTAATAATACAAAGAGACTATATAAATGTTCATCAAATACTATTGATAACAGTGATGGTAGTACATCAACCACTTCAACTAAACAACAATCAAATATTACCTTGAAATTAGAATCAGAACAAGAAACTAGTAATTATCTAAATTATTATCAAAAAGGTGGATGTAGTAAAGAGGCATGGTTTGAACTGGTATATGACATTATACGCCTGCCCGTAATAAACTGTTCAGCAGGTATACAGTTGGCGTTAGCTAAAATCAACGATATCGCTATGATGACAAAAGATAAACAGATTGAACATTCACAGAAGATAAACAATGATAGTAGTAATTTATTCTTTGGACAACATTTTGCAATACATTTGGTAGTACTATTTTTAAACTATCGGATACATCAAGAGATAGAAAGGAAGTTATTCAACGGTGAATATGAAAACCAAGAAAAGTCTGCCATTGAACGCTTACAATATCTGATATTATTAGAGTATCTATGTTCCTTATTAGATGTGAATGATGAAAATGAAGGTCAGTTGGTTAATTACTTACTTATGTAAACAAAAATATTAAGTCAGTGATGAGTAAATCTAAAAGATACATGTTTTTAGGTTTTAATACTAAGTTCGCTAAATTACAGTGAACTTTAATAACAGCTAAAAACAAAGACCCAGAAAGTTCTTGTCGGAAAAAGATAACTACTCATCTGAAGTGTGACAATCATTAGACAATAACAAATACTCTTTCGTACTATGGTCAACGAACCATATCTGAGATTGCTGAATACTCTGTGGTGTTTGAGCCCTTTGTTTAGTTAGTCTTATGTGGTTGTTCTTAGAATTATATCTTCTGATGTGATGTTTTGATCTGGAAAATAACCTAACATAGCAGCTTAGAAACACACCATTTCTGTTTTTTGAATTCTTTGCACCATATCACATCATTAGCTAAAACTGGCTATACATGATGAGTAGTGGCTAGCAGTGGAATCCAGAACATGCATTTCGTCCTACTTGGGATTTGTTAGCTGTATGCACCTGCCTCCCAATGAGTAGCAGTGAGTGGAAACATCACTCACTAGGAGGTAAGTACCTCCAAGATAGGATGAAATTCGTCTTTCGGATTCCGCTAACGGCCACTTTCCGTCACTAATATCAAAACTGAAAATATCGGTAATATCGAGGTATCCGTACAAAATCCCGTATGCCAATAGTAACCGATCAATTCGGCCTAATCAAAGACACAGATCTGCAAGCTGTTACATCAAAATTAAAACACTTTTAAGGTGAATGATATGCGGGAATTTGCTTGATTTTTATATGCATCGCCGTTGATGAACCGGAGTGAAATCGTATTTTTTTGCAAAGTATTTTGGAATGAAAATGAATAATGTTAACCACCAGTGACAGTAGGATTGAACGGACAAATTATTATATATTATAGTTAAGCTATTTTGTATGATAGTAATGACCAGAATACTGAGAAGTGATTTTCGGAAAGAAAATCGAAATGCACTCAGAAAATACAAGTACATTTGCACATCAGGCAGTGAACCACATCAATTAAGTGAGGAGTTATGATACTAACTGGTTGCCTAGACCTTGGTAGATGTAGAGGATTTCGAAAGAACAACCCACAGGTTAAGATTAGAAGCGCAGTGACTTGACTAATAAACCACAGCTCCACTCTGAGGTGATAATACTTGGTAAGGAATGTTTCTTCTTAAAATGGATCACACTTTTCTCTACTGATTATACATCAGAACATTGTATGGTCTACCACATACTTCGTCTATATTCCAGAATACATAAAAGAGTCTGCATTTGTTTCGTAGACAAAAAGTAAATAGTAAAACACGTAGAACAAGAAGGTGCTTCTGTTGCAATCAGAAATCGCTCAGATAACTGAGTTTCTCTATAATTTACCTCTTTCAGTCCTGTCCAAGTGTAACCGTTCGTCACTCTCTCTGTAAAAAGGTTCGAAAATTCATTTTATTATACCTTCAAAAAATGTGGCAAACTGATAAATAATGCTAAATCTTTTCTACTGATATACCATATCACAAGTGGATTATCAATTCCCTTCATTTAAGGTATATGCTTTCGTACGATTTACTAACTTTTTTTAAGGTTTTTACAGACTCAATCTTCTATTTGTTATAGAAATTCATGCATGTAAAAGGCGGACTAAGTCATTTTTGGAAGAAAGAAAGTCTGAAGGAAGGTTAGTCTGTTTTATTGCTATGTAAATATTAATCAAATTACCATAAAGTAGGCTATCAAAGAATCATTCTGTGTTCTTTATCAGACTCAACCTTATTCGAAAATTCATAGTGCGTGGATCAAAGGCCGATGATTATTAATATAGAAAACAACTGATTTCAGTTTAGATGGTTACCAAGCTCAGAACAAATAATAGCATGAGGTTGACCGATCATAGGCAATTAACAGGAATCGATGGAAGTAATGATTCACAAAGATCTTCGAGGAAATAGGTGTTCTCTCGGAACTTTGGACCTGTGCCACCCAGTGACGACATCAGAAACTTTACTGCAAAGTTACTTAGGCCATAAAGGAACTATTTTATGACTGCCCAACATACAAATATTGCCCAAAGCATGGTCGTTGATTTAACTTCGAAATCTAAGTGATGATTGAGGTCTGTCGATTTAGATCACAGTATGACCATTAAACTATATGATATTAACGGTAAAGCACTTTATTGTCGTGTTAGGAGTTAGTAGATATGAAGATGTGAACCAAGATTTGAATCATTTTGGCGTTGATCAAGAAGCGCACTGATAGTCTCAAAAACCATACTTCTGGTTCACCCAGGTTAGAGTTTTGATGGAACACAAGTTTGGGGGTCTCGAAGTAAAGTCGATCGACAAATTTTGGTCTGTATTTAGGACTAGAAAGTACGACAATAGTTACTTCATAGAGACTGACAGGCCGTTTAATATTTTACTGGTTTTATCTGACTCTTTTTCAGTATCGCATATTATGCATCTATCATGCAACACGTAACAGAAGATAAAGGTGTAGATGTTTTCTTTCTGTTTCCAAAAATTCTATTTAACTTGTATCTCCAAATTATCCATTCGCTAGGAACTAGTAGCTTCGAATGAATTTCTTATCTCTGTCTAAATTTCATCGGCTTGAAACTCTACTCAACAAAAGAGTAACAATAACTCAATTGTATTTCATGTAAACATCCTGAAATGAATAGAATAATAATCCTTGTAAGCGAGAGGAAAATATTTGTTTTAAAGTTCTTTTGTCATCAAAGGTTTGTAATGAAAACACAATATTTGTCGCTTACTTTAGTTCGTTGTGGAACACCCCAGAATTAACTGAATAATTCTACTCGATTTTCTAGTTGTCTGCAGCTGACAATCATTATGGATCAGCAGTCGTTCGTAGTTTAGTTTAACATCTGTTACGTAATGGAGTGTGAAAGTACTGTTGACTGACTCAGAAATAGGCGGAATGCTATTCTGATCTGTAACTCTAAGACAATAAATTAGATACTTAGGTTACTGTACAAAACCTTCTTTGATATGATGCAACCTTAGATCAAGTTCTAGATCATGAGTAACTCTAAAGGCCACTCTGGACGCTAATAAAATAACTGGTTAGGGTTTTTTATATTACAAATAAATTGTCCATTCAGCCGAAATAAAGGAAACTGAGTGATTATTTCGATTGTTGTTAGGGTGATTTTTAGAGCCACTTATAGACAGTTGATTCTGATAGTAGATTTCCGACCAGCAGTTCACAAGTCCGAACTTCATCAAGCCCACTAATCTCGATGCTGACTCTATAAATGTGGCTGTTAACCTAATGCATGAATTTGCGTGTAGCTGATGAGATCCATTGATTGATTGTCTATCGCTGCAAGCAATATAGAATATTGTTATCGTCGAAATAGATTATATGGGAACAAACTCATCTGATTACAGGAGAAGAGAGAAGACAGCGACGGCGAGGAAAAAAATTTTTTCAGCGAAGTCATGTGCTTAGCTGTGCATTCTTGAATATACACTATAAAGGATGGAACGTTCGAGAGTAATTTCTGGCCAAAGTTCAATATAAATTGTATGACAAAGGAAAGTTACGTAATCTTCGTAGACGATTAAAATGGGGAGATAAACAAAAGGATTACGAAATAAAAAATAATCACATCGCAAGGGAATTATCTAGAATGATCGATCCTCTACAATGGTCATGACAAAAAAACAGGTCGTGCATACTTCTTTTGAACCTATAATGATGGTTTGAACTTTTAAATTGCTAATGCTTTTGCTATGCTTAGATGTCTTAATCCTTTCGAGTAGCTTAGTTACACTTTGTACGGAATTTTGAAGGATAATGTCAACACAGTTTTTTAAAACACTCAACAATCATCTAATTATGGATTATAAACAGCTTTTATTTCTTTTTATCTCAAGTGATTCTGAATCCTTTATACCAGGGAATTCGAGTAAAATTTTCAAAAATGTACAAAATCTACGATTTGTACAACACAAAGGTTAGTCAAAATTAAGAAGTAAATGTATAAAGTGTAATTGTCTCTTATTTTAGCTTTGCCAGATTTATTTTTTATGCATGAATTCCTCTATGCGAATACAATGTGGATAAATGAATTAATCCAGAGTCGAAGAATCTCTGGTAAAAGCCCAACACAAAGTAATCCATGCTTTCAACTTGATGAGACATTTAATCCAAGTGTTTATTTCCAGTTAAATGATTCTACTGAGGTGAGTCTGTTTCTTATTTACTTGTATCTAGTAGACGAGACCTGATATTAACTGAGTAGTAAAACTAGTACGTACATCTTAGCCCATGTTTGAAACTGAAGTAATAAACCACCCGAGAAAAATTACCATGACTTCTGTGGCCTGGAAAATAAACAATATTTATATTGCTTTCATTTTCAATAACCGTATTGTGTAGACTGTCTTTGTTTGAAATACTGTATATTGTCATTGTTATTGTCATAAAGATTATGGAAGACAATGCCAACTTTATCGTAAACTTGAATCAGTGACCTGGAGTTCATCTGTTTGCAGTACTACTAGCTAAAAGGAAGAAAAGTGGTCATCAACTAGATTGAAGAAACTTCATAGAATTTTTTTTGTTTAAGACTCTTTACTGATTCAACTATTGATGTAATGTGGGGTATTTAAAAGATTTTTAGAATTATTAATTAGCTCTGGATGAGGGGGAATGCTAAGGCTGCATGCAGGTTTGTAGCTAAGTTATCATGGTATACTGTAAAAGAACCTGAAAATGCTTTTGTCCTATACTATGGATATCAGTGACTACCAATAAATGCAGCTTATCTATGATGTTGAACAAAATCAATATCTTGTAGTCACTCATTCTAAACTACTTTTTCCGTGACCAGACCGATTCCAAATATAGATTCTGATTGGTTAGTAGTTGAGGACATTACGAAGTATGATCACACCCAGGATCACTGAAAATTTAAATGATTGAATCATTTTTTTTATTAAAAAGAATTTCATTTATTGAATGAATGTTTTGTAAATCTTTTACTGATGTTTATATTACAACTTAGGAGATAAACTGGGAGAAGGTATATTGCATTAATGTTGGGCTTCAAGAATTATAATTTGACAAATTGTCATGACTTGGATCAAATTTATTTTGGTCATTTAAAATTTATTCGATTAGATTTGTCTGCTACTTAACTATGAATGAAAAGTTGTCAGTGTTTGAAAATTAGCACAAAAGACTCTAGAGAAGATGCCCAATTTCTGGAGAGATATTGTTCAATATATTCCTTATGTGGAAAATTTCTTACTCTTCATAAAAATATAAATTACTATCAAACATTTGTTTTTTTTCTTATGTATAGTAATGATGGGCAGTGGCTAGCAGTGGAATCCAGGATGCGCACTTCAGCTGGATGTACCTGCCTCCCAGTGAGTGATGTTGCTGCCACCGGGACTGGGACTCGGGATCGATCGCTTCAAACGCCAGAGCTTTATCCACTACACCACCAAGCCACGATAGCCATTTTATTGAAATTCAGAGTTTCTTCGCATTAGCAAATACCTCAGAATATTGGTTTGGCCCTTGTCTAATTTTACCTAGACAGTAGTCGGTACTATCACTTATTTAACAGCCAAGAAGTTCTAGTCGTCAACACACTATCAGTCTCCTTGAATTAACACCAACATTCTTCCTTATCACCTTTTTAATCTTCTATATCCTTTCGTGTTAATAACCCTACTCTATCTTCAACTTTTATTCCGGCTTGTTAGCCCACTCTGACAAAGTGAGTCCACACATTACCCCGTAAGTCAATACAGATTAAGGTTTAATAACTCGAAAGTTATTTGTCTTACATTTATTAGTAGAAAGAACACCATTTTAAACAAAGATTAAATGAAGAGCTGAAAATATCAGTCCTTGAAGTTCATTATTGAAAAAAGCGCTCAAAGAAAAGTGGTATCAGTGACTGTTAGTAATGACCTTATCCTTTAATACATTTCTGTACTAAGTAACTGAGTGGCTTTATAATCCAGCCTGGTAGAAGCCGGAACACCTGATTTGTCCATACAATTGTTACTGACATATTCAATGTTTAGTCTTTGATGTTTTCTTGGATATGTAATCCTAATTGTGGTAAACCTTTGAATAAACTAGACTTTTATCAATTTTACAGAAACACTAGTATTTGGATAGGATCTTCAATATCACATAGAGATCGATAAATCTGTTAAGCCCCAAAATATTACCATACAGGTGTACATTTGATAAAGAAATTATTCTCCAATTCTTTAAGACGATCAACATTCATCAGAAAATAAATGAGATAGTCACCAAATTCAGTGACCAGATATTGAAGTACGTCTTACTGCAGACTGCATTTCTTGTTAATGAATAACAGCAAGCACAAAAAAGATTTCAAACTTTCTGTCAGCCTTCTCTAACCATCTATAACTAAAGTAACGCAAAATGATCGCATGGCATCGTGTTTCATATCTTGGCTCACTGATTCATTTCGACAGTAGGGAGTCTAGTATGGTACTGTTTGGTATCCAACACGCTCCTCATGAATATAATTTAATCTAAAGGTAGATTAACCTCGCCTGGTTAACTAGTTTACTAGTTACTAGCCGCTCCTAAGCCCGGGTAAAGAGGGAAGGTTGGGCATAGGGCTAGCAACCCTACCCCGTAAAACAAATCTAACCGCTAAACAAACTTCAAGGCGAAATGACGCCAGTTGGTGAAAGCCTGCCTTCGGGAAGCCAATTGACCAGGCCGATGTGTCTTCTCTCCCTCAATGAAAGCGAAAGTAAACGTGGGGACATGGAATGTCCGTACGATGTTTGAACCCAGTAAGGCAGCCCAGATTGCAAAGGAGATGAGAAGGTATCACATCGAAGTGCTTGGAATTTGCGAAAGCAGATGGAATGGGAGTGGACTCTCCAAACTGTCAACTGGAGAATCAAAAATCTACTCCGGTCACCCAGACGCCAACCACGAGCACACTGAGGGAGTGGCTATCATGATGTCCTCAAGAGCATCGAAGGCTCTTTCTCATGCAGTGGGAGCCAATCTCCTCCAGGATCATGACAGCAAGATTCAACTCAAAAGGAAGAAAGGTCACAATCATACAATGTTATGCACCTACAAATAATGCAGAGCAAGAGAAAAAGGAGGATTTCTGCAGACAACTTCAATCAACACTGGACAAGACCCCTCCCCAGTTGGCGATATCAAAATTCTAATGGGCGACATGAATGCCAAACTGGGAGGGGACAACACGGGAAGAGAACTAACCATGGGTCGAGAGGCGCTAGGTGAAATGAATGAGAATGGAGAATTGTTTGCAGAATTCTGTGCATTCAACGATTTGGTGATTGGAGGCAGTGTGTTCAGGCACAAAGATATCCACAAAGCGACATGGATTTCACCAGATGGACACACTAAAAATCAAATCGACTTCATCTCAATCTCAAGAAAATGGAGACGCAGTCTACTTGACACAAGGTCAAGAAGAGGAGCAGATGTAGGCTTACACCACTCACTATCTAGTGCAAGGAACCTTCCAAATCAAGTTAAAAGCCTTCAAGGAAGCTTGTGATAGACCTCAATTCAAGTACAACACTCGGAAACTGAAGGATGAAACTACAAAGGAGATCTTCACGTCAGCCATCAAGACAAAATAGGAGATATCGAGCAACATCCCTGAAGAAACCTGAAGACAAGGAATGGATCTCGACAGATACCTGGAAGCTGATAGAGGAGAGGAGGATGGTGAAGCAGAAGATAAACCAGTGCAAGGATGCTCAACGACAAGAGGAACTGAGCACAATGTATAAAACACTGGACAAAGAAGTGAAGAAGAGTGCACGGAAAGACAAAAGACACTTCTACAACACACTGGCAAGTGAAGCAGAACAGGCTGCAGGTAAGAGAGACCTGACGACATTGTATCAAATAACCAGGTTGCTATCAGGGAAGAGACCAACACAGATGAAACCAATAAAAGATGAAGAAGGAAATTTAATCACAAAAGAAGAGAAACAGAGGAAACAATGGGCCGACCACTTCAAGAAGCTCTTGAATCGACCACCACCTGCACTTCGTCCAGAAATACCACCTGCAGCCGCTGAATTACAAGTGAACATTAATCCCCCAACGAAAATGGAAGTCCTGAACGCCATAAAGCTACTGAAATGCGGGAAAGCAGCAGGACCAGATGGAATACCGCCAGAAGCACTGAGAACAGATGCAGAGACAACAGCGGACATGCTCACACCACACCACTATTGCAGAAGGTGTGGAAGGAAGAGAAGGTACCTGACGATTGGAAGAAGGGTTACCTTGTCAAACTGCCGAAGAAGGGAGACCTCAGTGCTTGCAAGAACTGGCGCGGAATCACTCTCCTGTCCACCCCAAGTAAAATATTAAGCCGCATCATCCTAGAGAGGCTTAAAGACGCACTGGATTCAAAACTGCGACCGGAACAGGCAGGCTTCAGGAAGTACAAATCATGTGCAGACCAAATTGCAACGCTTCGTATCATCATAGAACAGAGCATAGAATGGCAATCAGCTCTCTACCTCAACTTCATCGACTTTGAGAAGGCCTTTGACAGCGTCGACCGAGAAGTAATTTGGAAACTGCTTCAATACTACGGAGTACCGCAAACCTTTATCCGCCTCATTCAACAACTATATGAAGATGCCACATGCCAAGTAATCCACAATGGGAAGCTCAGTGATGCTTTTGAAGTGAAGACAGGAGTGAAACAAGGTTGCCTACTATCCCCCATGATATTCCTTATTGTGGTGGACTGGATCATGCAACAAACAGTAGGCAGCGAGAAGAGGGGGATACACTGGACGACGGAAAAGAACCTAGAAGACTTGGATTTCGCCGATGACTTATGCCTAATGTCACACAAACTTGAAGATCTGCAGGCAAAAACTAACAAGTTGATAGAAGAGGCAGCTAAGACGGGACTTCAGGTGAATATAGAGAAGACAGAAGTGATGAAGATACCGCACCACCACCATCAACAACAACAACAAACTCCAATCACCATCAACGGGAGAAACTCAATGGAAGTAACCTCCTTCACCTATCTAGGAAGCACTGTTTCAACTACAGGCGGGACGGACGAGGACGTCAAAGTCAGAATCGGAAAAGCAAGACAGGCGTTCATTAGCCTGAAACCAGTGTGGAGATCTTCTGCACTCAGCATGTGGAACAAGATACGGATTTTCAACACCAACGTAAAGTCAGTGCTCTTGTATGGCTCAGAGACTTGGCGCGTCACGAAAGGGATTTCCAATAAACTACAGACATTCATCAACAACTGCTACCACGCTGGCTCGCTACTGAAGATCAGATGGCCAGAAAGAATAAGCAACAAGGAACTCTGGGAACGAACCAACCAAGAACCTATCACGCAACAAATATGCAGGAAGAAGTGGAGATGGATTGGCTATGCACTGAGAAGGCCGACTGAGGACATCACGCGTCAGGCCCTCGAGTGGAATCCCCATGGGAAGCGACGAGTTGGACGTCCGAGGGTGACATGGAGGAGGTCGTGCGAGCAGGAAATGAGAGCTTCTGGGCTGTCGTGGGACCAGGTTGAAAAGATCTCGGAGAACAGAGGTCACTGGAGACGTGCTACTGAAGCCCTATGTTCCACTAGGAACCCAAGGGACTAATAATAATAATAATAAAGGTAGATTTATGTTTGCCTTGTCTTTTTAGTCCTAAATGCACAGGCTGGTCATGCTTTATTCATTTTCTCTGGATGAATGACGAGATGATAGATTCCTAACTAAAGTGAACAAAATATGCTAAAGAATATGGTAGAATACTAATGCATCATGTGACCACAGGATATTAAAGGTGAAGCCATACTGTAAAGGATATCTAGACTAAAATTTGAATGAGTAGTTGCAGTCCATTGGTTTAAGAAGCTTACTTTTTGATGAGAGCATGAAAGATTCGACGATCACTCCAGCTCCCGAGGTTTCAGCAGCCAGGTAGTATCAATATCCCTCACAAAATAGGTGTGGCTCATTGCCTACTGCAAGAATCTGCACAAGGTTACTGAGTAGATTTCGACTGAAGTGGTCA